TTTTTTTTATTTCTTCCGTCTTAATCGTACGCTTCGTTATTTACGTTTGTTTATACATGGGTGTGAACAGAATACGACCGGGATCCCCGCGTGGGTGAAAATAGACAAACAAAATTTAATGAAATCCGGTTTCGCCGGTATTCCCACCAATCCAATATTTCACTTCCACCTCACTTTCCACTTCCGCTAATTTTTTCCGAGAAAGATCAGAGGTCTTCAAGATGTTAGAGTTGCTAGTTGTAAATGAATATATTCGCACGTGTGAAAGAAATCGGCCCTCGCCAAAACACTCGTGTGGTCAATGCTCACAGCTGTCTGTCAACTAAGTATTCCTTCTTGCCGCTGGTTCTTTGCTCCTCTTCCAAACCCACACCTTCCTTCCCAAGTCTTTCCCCTAATCACGGACCTCATTAATTCACAACGTTATTTGGTATCGTGCGCCAATTTTTACTTTTCTTATTTTCATAAAATTTAAAGGAAAAAATACAACAACAACAACAAAAACAAAAACAAAAAATAAAAAAACACAAACAAACAAACCAAAAATAAAAAACCAAAAAACTTTCGCTTAAAACGCCCAAACAAACGCAATATTTATTTATTATTTTTCTCTTTTTTTTCCTTTCCTATATACTTGGCTTTTCGCCTAACTTAAACTGCTTGTTCTTTTTGTATATATTACCTTCCAATACCTTATATATTATCTTAAAAAAAAAAAGATAAAATTCAAATGTACCAAAGAAGACTGATCAATATTAAGAATCCACTATCGTTTACAGAGAAATAGATTTAAAAGCACTTCATCTTAAATTGCAAATGTTACCATTTGCCTCCATGTTTGTCAGATAATAGAGTTCCCATTTCCGAAGCCAGCAATAAAAATCCACAATCTTAACTTGTTTTCCAATGAGTACTTTGTGTGCTTCCTTGGTCACTTCTCTACCACAATCTACGTGTTTAATAAAGTTAAGAGTGTTCTTCCTTCTGACTTAGTCTCAAAGGTTTACACTGGAACGTCAAAGTTGTCACTTCCAAGAGTCACAACAGATGCTGTGAAATGGCGGCCTCGGTGGTGGTACTTGATAAAAGATGGGTTGCGTAGGGGAGTCACGGCCAGGAACCAGCAGTTGACAGCCTTTTGAGACATGCGCGGCTGATGGGGCTCCCGACTAAAGCCTGAAAGACAAAGAGAGAGGAACGGCACTGTAAGCTGCGTTTGAGAGATTTGGACGAGGGACTTTGTCGAGTATTCAAGTTAATTACCCTTCAAAAAATTAGTTCATGACCACAAACGAATCATAGCAATAGAGAAAATAGGCCAAAAGAAAGAAAGAACGGAATGCTTAAGTACTTCAGACTCAAGGTGAAAAAGAGGTTACACATGTGGGGATGTTTCTTTTTCTCCTCGTGAAAGGCTTAAAACTGTTCTATATCACCCCGAATACAATCGTTTTTTAAAGGTTGGATTGAAAAGTAACTGTCTGTGAGATACGTTTTAGTTGTTAAAAAAACGCTGCAAAGTGGCAAAGAAGAAAGGCTAACTTTCAATATTCCCGCGTAACCACAGAGTGGATATCAAATGAATAGTAACCAACCGAACATAGCTCATATCGTAAGTTTCTTCTCAATAGTACCCATTTTTTTTATCAAATCTGACTTGGGGAATGGGTACGTTTTCTGCCAAATTTTCCACGATTTCACATTACTAACGACGCTTAACAAAAGAAAATTATGTATTTCTTGCCCTTCGTGAAAAGATTATTTCTAGTGTTCTGATTGGTTGCTGAGTGCCGGTTGCCAGTGCATAAACAGCGTTGTCTTTTGATCTTATCAGGGTAACAAATGTGCCTATTTTCTCTAAGCTACAGTTGCCCATTCGTCTGTTCGCCCATTCGTGCGTACGCTCATCAGAATCATCCCAGCCGAATCATGATTCTACAGGCAGTTTAATTACGGTCTTGCGGGGGCTGGTGATCTTCTTTTTTTTTCTGTCAATAAGCAACTGACAGAACACTACCATCACGGGATGATTCACCCCGCTTGAGAGTTGCGAATATAAGGCATCCTTATAAAACCCTTTCGCAAGAGTTAGAATTTAATGCAAATTATGATCTCTGATAGCTTTTTCATGGCGTTTGTCTCCTTTTTTTCCGTCATAGACGGACCAATAGACAAAAAGCCGCCCGCAAAAGATGTAGAGCACTGTTTTTCTTAATATAATCGAAAAACTTCACGGTATTAAAATACTTTTTATAATTCCAATTTGATGAAGAAGCAGCTCAAAAATAACTTTTGTGTCCAGATGTTTGATATCCAACATTTTAGAAGGAGCGGTGGGGTCAAAAGGCCTGAGTGGGAGACGTTCCTTGGTCATAATGATGTGCCCTGTGGGCCAGGCATTGTACTCTCAAGTATCTCTCTGTGCTCATGGAATAATTGATTATTTATTCTGGAATATCCAATAGTCTTAGCTGCAATAAAGTTAGTCAATCGAAGCTTGAAACGTTTTGACATATCGCATTTGGGCGGTGTAAAGAGAAATGTAGTTGTACATTCAAGAATATTCCTTTTTTAATTAATTCTTCCGCCTAAATCGTACGCTTCTTCATCCATGCTGATTTTATAAATCGGTATGACGTAGTCTAGCCTGTTCTAAACCGATTTAGGCACATCTACATCATCAACTCCTTCTTTCACTGGTTGAAATTCCTCTTCAATGCTAGCCTCTCCGTTGTAATGATATTTGAAAGCCAGGCCCTTGGAAATATTCCGCGTTTCTATCGCTGAGCTTCTTCCTTTAAATTGTCGTCTCTGTGTAAAAGTTCTTTAATGGCTGTTTGATGAAGTTTGCGCAAGGGATTATAAACTTGGTTTATACCATCTCCGGCCAGTGTCGCCTCTATTGAATTCCAAATAATTCGATGTATTTTCGATTCAAAATGGTACTCCTTATCTTAGGGATGCTAAAAAAAAAAGGGAAAAAAACTGGCAAATGTAACTGATCAAAAACGATCCAATCATAAGTGTTTTTCTGTCCTTTTTAAATTAGCACTTTATTTATTTAACCATTTGCGTATTTATCTATTTGTTCATTAAGCAACAACTTTGAAAGTCAACTTAATTTTTAATTTTTTTTAATGTAATAAACATTTATGGAAGAAACATTTGTACAAAACTAAACTTACATTACATTACCCTACGTACTTACATTACTCGACATCACTCTACTTATTACATTACTGTACTTATTAGATTAGTCTCTAGTAGTTATTTCTTACTTATACTAACAGTCACTTAGTAACAGTCACTTACAGCGTAATGTTACTTACATTACATTATTAAACAGAACATGACTTACAATACATTACAATACAAAACTTGCAACTCGCTAATTAAGCTCACCTGCCTACTTATAATTACTTGAGTACTTTACGAAACCGCACCTTAATTACCTTCTACGAACACTTCGAAGTAAATTTAAAGACAGTTCTAGTAGAAAACGGTAAAGAATAGATTTTGGGCTTTGATTTAGTGTTTCTGTTTAAATTGGCTGGTTAAATCAGTAAAAAAAGGTTTCACGGTAAGATCTGTGAATTATGGATGGGCTTCTTTAAATTCCTGCATATTTAGTTTCTTGTCTAAACATTTTCAAGGGTAAATGAATAATTAGATTAATTAGATTAAATAGATTTGATTAGAATAATTAGAATAATTAGAATAATTAGAATAATTAGAATAATTAGAATAATTAGAATAATTAGAATAATTAGAATAATTAGAATAATTAGAATAATTAGAATAATTAGAATAATTAGAATAATTAGAATAATTAGAATAATTAGAATAATTAGAATAATTAGAATAATTAGAATAATTAGAATAATTAGAATAATTAGAATAATTAGAATAATTAGAATAATTAGAATAATTAGAATAATTAGAATAATTAGAATAATTAGAATAATTAGAATAATTAGAATAATTAGAATAATTAGAATAATTAGAATAATTAGAATAATTAGAATAATAATGAAAAGGTGTAGTCTGTGTCTCGGGAAATCGGTTTGGAGAGTTAAACGGGGGATGTCGTGAAAAGTTATTTGTTTATTTAAAAGTGTAATGTCGGTGTCATTTTCCTGTTTGAACCATGATATGGCTTTGAACGTCAACTTTAGCTGCTACTATTATGGGCATTTTTTTGTTACGGTACAATTTAACCGACAAAAAGAACACTATTAAACAACTTTAATATTCCAACTAAGGAGCGACTCTTAAAGGAAGTACAGTTTTTATGCTGAATAAACTTATTTAAGCCCATTGCAAATTACATCTTAGCTCACCACTGACACAATCTCACAGTTGTCTCCCCAGTTCCTCGAAATTAACAATCTTCCACAGTAGCTCTCTTTCATTATAACTTTCTGAAAAATCAGTCACTCCCGACAACAACAAGCTTGAGTCCTTTTGTACAAAGTGTTCCAGATAATTCCAGAAGCTTACAAGAACCATTTTGGTGGTGTTACACCATAGCTACGCAACCTAATAAAATTTTGCAGAAAGTTCCTATTTATGCATGTCAACATGACTACGTATTCTAGAAATTTCTAGAAATTAATGGTTTCAGAACTATCCATAGCTTATAGTTAAAAGTAATAACAGTGTTTGATAAGAAGTTTATAAACTAAGTAAGTGAAACAAAGCAGTCATCTGCATACGGAGCCATTAGGAATTTCGATTATTCGATTATATATACGATCACCTAGAAAATAAACTTATTATCTTAAAAGTGATAGGTTATAAAGACAACTAGTTGAATGCTTAAACAATAATGAAGACAAAGACCTCTTTTTACTTGGAGATCGTAACTCAGACCGATCGTAACCGACTTATTTCTGTTAACTAAGTGATTGTTCTAAGTATTTGGTTGTTATTTCCGGTTGGCTGAATCCGGTTATTTAACTTAAGTACAAGTTCGATTCAAATTCTGCACAAGACTGCAATTAAATTGCCCATACATTCCAAACCTCATTTGGATTGACCTGTGGGCTCTTCCTTGTGGAGTTGTCTTTTATAGAATATGGAAAAACGATGTTCATCTTTCTTTTGAATCGCTCTCTGATCTGCAGATAGACGAGCAACGCGAAATATGGTTCTTAGCACTCGCATATTTATTGAAACTCTAAAACTTGATGATGTAAAGTTAATAATTAGTTCAATCTTTTTTCTTACCTGAGTGTTTCGCACACAGTGTAGAGCGAAAATCAGGAAACCCTACAGCATAAAAATTATTTCAAGATCATTAATATTTACAAAATGCAAACAAGTTAGTCAAATATCTATTAAGATTTCCAAGAAGGAAGGAAGATTACACATCTTATAATTGAAAAAGAAGTCTGTCTTCTCTTGCATAGTTAACACCTTTTTGTTTTGAAAATTCCAAAACAATATAATCTGACCATCCTAATGGCGTCTCAGTTGGTCAGAAAGTAAAATAAATAATAGAGATTAATGACTTTTTACAGTAACCATCGAACACTGACCTGAGTAGAGTTAAGTATGGTGAAGATGTAAGCGAAAGCTTTATGTACAGGCGAGAGGAGACCGAATAGCCATGTGACACCCAGCTGGGGAATCATCACCGCGCATGTTTTGATGCCAAGACTAGGAGTTAGAAAAAAACACTCTTTTACTTTCCTTTGAGAATGAATTTTCATTGTTAGATATGTTGATGCCTTACTGATTAAGGAATGAGAAAGCTAGGCAAATATAGCGCCACAGGAGGGCATGGCAATGTCTTCCACTATTTTTTAAGTTTTATGCTGTGATTCTCACCGTATTTGCTGAAAATGGTGGTCTGCCCCTGTTGGCTGCAACAGATCGGTCATCTCCCTTATTACACGTAGGAGTATCAAAATGTTGAGCTAAAATATACAAAAATCAAAAGTGATTATTTAGATATGGAAGTCGAATAGCCAAAGCAGGGGAGGATCTTTGCCAAGGAAGTTACTAATTCGGTAACAAGCGTGGGATGAAGGGTAATTTACTGGGAATAGAGCCCCTAACCGGGGAACCAAGATTAGGAGCTTCGATCCTCTGCCAATGAGCAAAGGAAATCGCGCACAAACGTGCCTACACTGAGAGAACCACGCCAAGTATAGCTTCATGTTAAATTATATAAATTCAATAAATCCTACTCTTCTTGCTCCTTTCATATTTTTCATCTTATTTTTGTTTTGTTTTGTTTTTTAATGAGTTCTTTTTGCGTTGAAGGAAGGGGGAGAAGTTTTTTTTTCATACTATCTAGTAAAAGTTGGAGAATTTATGAAGCTATCTTATGCCTGTGAGGACATTGTCTCCACAAGTTTCTCTCGCTATTGAAGACCATCATTAGGTTAAAATTGACCAGCATCCCCGCAAACAGCGGCTACGTCCAAAGCTTTTTGTGAGTAAATAGGAAAAAAGAAAATGGTAAATATTGTCTTGAGACATATCATAAATACTTAATTCGTTTTACAGAGCAGAGGAAAAAAACTTTAGCAGAAATTAGTCCAAGGTATACCAAACACAGTCACCAACACTAATCATTCACTCACAACTTCAATAAAAGCCACAAAGGCGACGAATATCCAGATCAGGTTGTTAGTCGAGGAAAGCCAGCAACTAAACTCGAGGATGTGAAACGCACGAAAGAAACACAAATTGTCAGAAAATAAAATGATACCGATTTCGAACTATATCCAAAAACAAAACAAAGATTTAAATGCAACAAATTAAAAGGAGAAGAGCAAGAAGAAACCCTTGAATTTTTTTCTTACTATTTATCATTCGTATAGCTTTGTAACCCATCTTTTCCAGCAGCGATGCCAAGTGAAATGGCCACCATCATCACTGGAAGACCTACTCATAAAGAAAGGAAGGAAATCGAAACACTTTACTGCATGACAACACCAGACTTGGCGATCAGAAAGCATGGTTACAGTTACCAGTGCATGTTTACCTACCCCACGAGATGACGTGATACGTGTACATTTTGGTGTTAATGTTGTAGACTTTCACAACGAAGAAGTAGAGATAAATTCCCTCGATCAGCATCCAACAGAAAGCGGCCATCAAGAAATACTGCATCAGAGCTGCTATTGTAACACAGGCAGCCTGTGGAAAGGACGAGTTTTCGTATAATTCTTAACGAGCTTCTTTCGAGAAGATATTTACGGTGCAGAGTAAATTCATTCTATGGATAGAAGGAAAGGTTACTGACTTTGTTTTCTGTGGCGTTTATTCCAGCGAGGAAGATGATCTGTCCAGCCCCAAGGGACATAGAAACACTCATTCGAATTTGAGAGAGAGGTTTACAAACATCTCTGGTAAAATAATATTAAAAAGAAGAAGAATGAATGAGACAAAAGCAACAACACACAGAAAAATATGGCAAAAAAATTAACTAAATCTTGACAGCGAAGGAAAGAAGAAAGTCAGTAAATAGCTCCAAAGAGGAAAAAAAAAAGAAAATATTACGAAGAAAATGTCTAAAGCCTAAAAAATTCATAAAAAGTGAAATCATAAGTTGTTCAAAAGTTCGTGATGGGGCATGTAATGTAGCCTGAGTTTGTGAATTATCCGACATGACTGTTCTTGTTTGCATGGAGATTGGCATTGAGATCTCTTTTCTCACCAGCCTTGTTGAGGGGAGTTAAGAATCTACCTCATTATTAATCAAGTGCATTACTTACGTGAGGCAAGAATAAAGTATTAATGTTAAAAGTATCCCGATTATGGAAAGGCCCAGTCCCACGTAGGTGGCAACTTTCAGAATGGTTTCGTCCTCCTCGGTGAGCTGTGTCAAGAAAAGAAAAATTAAATGACAACATTGATTTAGTTCATTGAGCCCATAAAACTATTAAGTAAGGCAAAAATAACTTTATTACCTTTGTGCTACCGTCGTAGTCCATTAAGACGGCAAAATGCGTCAAATGATTGCAACTGCAAACTGTTTCTTCTGAGTTACTTTTTGATGTAATTACATGACAACCTTCCTCTGAAAAGCTGTCACACAGGAATAAAAAAGTAAAGTTAAAAAAAAAATTATTCATTGTTTGAGGAAGAGGTGATGTTTGACAATTTTGCGCCAAGATTTTCTTATACTGTAGTTATAGTTGCGAGAACATTTCGATCAGACTTCCCCTCTCTAAAAACGACAACATGTTGGCTTCCAGGAAAGTTTTCATCTGCGCAAAAGCATCTGAGAAAGTTCATTAATTCTCCTCCGTACTAAATTTAATTTAAGAAGGAATAAATACCATACAATATATAATATATATAATATATAATAATGTATTGTAGTTTTTTACCTATTGCTGAGGCCACTCCAAAACATACAGCGCTTCTCTGCCGTCAAGACCTGAAAATAGATTTTATCTTGTCAGAATAAATCAAAACAACGCATAGAAACTAATTTTCATGTTACCTTTAGGTTTCTGAACTGTAGGATGACATTTTCTCGCAATTTCTCAGGCTTGGGGTTCATAGTTACGGCCATTATCCTGGAGTTGATATACCTATGAAGAAATTGTATTTGAAAATGGACCAGAACCAAGGAAGCAATATTACATATTTTTTGTAGATTCAGGCCAATTTTTCATGAAGATGGAATGGTCAGAGACAAGCAGGGAGTCTTCCAACCCTAGTTAGGGTTTTTGGAAAGTTTCTCAGTTCAGTTTAGTTGAACTTAGATCTTATGTGTATCCGTGTTATGTGTTTTTTGAGGTAAACGACATGGAGTAATATGAAAATAACAGCACCTTTGGTTGTCTGTTTCACTCTTCATAGCTTGGTCTGTCAGAAGTAGGTCATGCAAATCCTTGTACACACATGCAACCACCATTGATCCTTTAAACCCCAAGGATCAACAAAAAAATGTTATCAAACAACAACAAAAAAACACACAAAATTGAAATTTTTATCAGGCTCTGAGGTATGTGACATTTTAGGAACGGCGAGTGATTAAAGAAGATGGACTATGTAAACTAAGGAAGCGCCTTTACATGAGGCTTTATTTCGACACAGAAATTTTTATTGGAGAAACCAAGGTAATACCAAAAGTAAAGTTACCACAATAGTTAATACGAACCATTTTTCTCAAAAGTTGAAGAAGCGATATCGATTCTTGCTCGCCATTGTTGTTCCTCAAAGTTGAAGCCACTTGCATTCTGGCGATAGGCTTTTTGAATGACCAAAACTGTGGGAAAGAAAAATTACAAATGAAAGCACTTTCGGTGAAATTTACAATAGCACACCTACACAAACTTCCATTTTTTGGTGTACACAAATATTTCATAATCTTATGGGTTGGAAGTGTATTGTATGTATCTTATTTACCCTTCCACGACTATTCGACGAATTCAACCATTTTACAAAGTTTTGTTTTTTCAATGTAAGGCTGATAAAAAAGTTAGTAGTACTGCACGGACTAAAATTGTGAAAACTCAATTCGTTCCTCGAACCGTTTCGTTGGAGAACTATAGAGTTCATTAGAGAATTTTGAAGCGTACGGTTAAAAATCTTGCATTTATGTACATCACAGACGATAGGCCAATTTTGAGCTCAGTGTACGGTATGAAGTAAGCGGAAAGATTTGACAATTTTATTTAGTAAAGTGTTACTCACCAATCTATTGTTTAAGAAAATTTTCAATATACAGATCGAGAAGAAGGGTTTCACAATTTGAAAGGTTCCTATTCTCTCTTGTTGGTTGTTTAAGAAAACGTTCAATTTCCTTCTCCACCGCGAAAAATCAAAGTATCAAACAAATTGAAAAAAAAAACACAGATGAATCGATGACATCCAGCAATAACATTCTGAGACGTTGGGCTAATAGCTGAGTTCCTACACCATCTAGCCATAGGAAATTAGACAACTCAGTGGGACAGTCAGCGAGTCAGCAAGTAACAGAGGAATAGACTTTGAAACTAAACAGGACTGAAGGCCGCAAACTCACCAATTTTGGGGGAAACGATCCTTTCTGAAGGCCTCATTCCTCTGAGGTGTCGGTTGCCATAATTAAGAGCAAATTTCTCGACGGCCTCTGCCACCTCAAAGATAGATTTTTTCAGTGTTTTAACCTCTTCTATGCCGGCCTTGTCTTTTGTGACGTTCTTGATTTTTAAGGTGAAATCTTCAAACACAGTAACAGCTTCCTACAATTACGTAAAATATTTCCAGGTCATTGAACAGCCAGTCTCAGATATACAATTTACACTAATGCCCAAATGGTGTCCAGGGTATTCATCGGCTGGAGAACTCTTTTAGGGGCCTGGATTATTTTTAAGCTTCAACATTTTTACTTTATATGGCTCGATGGTGGTTTATCCTTAAAGATCAGATATTAACCTTTTTATCGTTTAAAAACATATACCAAAGTTAAAAAGCCTTTTAGATACCTGTAGGGAAGTCCTTCTGGTAATATTTATTCCGCCAAATTTTGAAACATACTCCTTTGCCTAAAATTAAAAATATTCTCTCTCACGTTTGTAAACAGAGGAGATCCTGAAAAACGATATGCATAAAAACGGTAAATGACTAGAAAACATACAAGCTGCTCAACTGGTGACAGCGATAGCGATGGCGATGGCGATGGCGATGGCGACGGTGACGGCGACGGCGACGGCGACGGCGACGGCGACGGCGACGGCGACGGCGACGGCGACGGCGACGGAAACGGGGATGACGATGGCGATGGCGAGGGGGATGGCGATGGCGATGGCGAGGGCGATGGTCGTGGCGACGGCGACGGCGACGGCGACGACGATGGCGATGGTGATGGTGAGGTTGCACGTGCTACTCTGGATGATAGTGAGGGCGACGAAGGTAATGAAGGTATTGAGGAGTCTTTAAAGAAAAATGTTAATCAAGACCACATCGTACAAAAAATTACCTTACTATTACACTGCGAGGGCAAAACTGCGGACGGAAAGGGGAGTAAAAAAATGGCCGCTAATAACGTTCAAAACTCTTAAACGCACTCGATTTTTATCAGTAATACAGAAAGCTCTTAGTGTTTCCTCAACATTTTATTTGTCGTTGGCACACGTCTTGGGTGATTGTTGCTTAAATAGGGCTGTAGGATGTTTTTCGAAAACTAGACCCCATAATACTGGAGAATGAAATATAATCTGTAGACTTTTCCCTAATAGCTTAAAAAGCTGTAACACAATACTTCAATATCCTGTTCTGCGTTTTCTTGAATAATATTCCACTAATCAAATATCCATTTTGCCTCTTAAGACTTCACTTTACTACCTGTCGTTTCCTCGGAAACAATCTGCATTTTGTCACGTTTTCGAAGCGCATTATCCAACACCACTGAAAAATGAATTCTCCACACAATTCTGGACTTAAAGTTATTCTCTTTTCCTGTTTCAAGACTGAAAGCGTTAAGAACCCAAAGTGTCCCATTTCAACCCACCGAGCCAAAATAATAACTCTTGCATGCTACGCATGCCTATGTTTATCTTTTCGGTGAGCAGAACATCAAATATATTCCACCTCAGTATTGACTATCTTTTAGACAAGAAAATGTATCTACACCCTCTGGTGATGTATGAGAACTGAGGTAATCCTTACTAACCTCGTTATAGAGTAATGGTTACTAAGTCGATCGAAATGCCCGCCATATTCGGATTAGATGCACGATGGTCAGTTTATTATGCTCACTGCACATCATGCATTGCATTAAAATTAGCCCTTACAACTTTACAGTTCAAATGATCACACATTAAAATAGAATACAGTAAACTTAAAATTGATTCCCCTATGCGAAGAACAAATAGGTCTGCAAATCTCTTGTTTTTGTTTTAGAAAACGATAATTGGCATGGTTCTTAACCGACATGAGTCACAAGCTCTTAACAAAAAGATAACGCTCTTCACATCATCACGCACTATCATCCAACAAAGCAATTGGACTGATAATTCTTTGCAATTGGTATTCACCATCAGTTTCGTAACTGTTGTTGTTCGTAAAAGTGATAGTAACAGAACCATCTGCAGCTTTCCCCTGTTTACAAGGTTAAAGTTAGACATGTATATCGTGAAAACGTTCATTGGGATTGTTTCAAACATATTTTGATTTACGCAAAGGTAAGTGTAAACTTGATTCTGACTGTCTGAGGGTTTTTATAACTTCTCTCGTGAGTACCACAAACGTTAGCAAATAATGTTTTTATTGCCCTTCAGCGCTCCTAGTGCCTTTGAGTTTACTCAAAATAACATTAAAAAAAAATAAAAACAACAACAACAACATATCAACTCACTCTCGGGGATCTCACAAATATAAGCGTCCGGTTTTTTCCCACTAGTACCATTATCACTTCCAAATACGCCCTGTTCGCCATTACGGAACCTCTTGTACATGAAAGCCGCGTTGTGTTTACCGCTTGGCTCCCCTTGTCCCCATTTGGAAATAGTCAGCCGTCTTCCACTCACCCAGGTCCAATTCCTGGCCCTTTTTTTTAAACCAATTCTCCATTTATTTTCATAGTTCGTAGTGTTTCGCCTTTGAATTTCGTCATTAATCAAATTCCATTCTTCTTGGGTTTCAAAGGAAACTAGGTCCCCGCCTAGACTTGAGCAAGTGTCTCTGCTCCAGTACCAGGACTCTCCATCCACCGAAATTATGTACCAAGAGTTTTTAAAAGTTATATTTGGGCATTCTACATGATGATGAAGATGAAAACAAAAATACCAATTATCCAAATGATGATAAATAAAGTGATAATTATAATAGGAATGATAACATAAAAAGATTATAATTACAATCACAACAAAGGAAAAAAACGAATGAAACAGAAAACGTGACTCATTCACTAATGAATTCCTTTTTTTTTTTTACATCCTATGTATTTGTCTGATCAGTGTCAATAAATACCATACATCTTTCTTCACTACGGCGTCCGCCACACTTACCTGCTTTTGTGGATTAGTTAACTTCACATCAGCTAGGATTATTTGTGAATTCATATCATTTTGGTAGTCGAGTTTTTAAATATTAATTAGTTCCTCGTTGAGCTGACACCTCCCCCACTCCGCCCCCTACTCTTCCTCCTCTATCTAATCAAAAACGTAAAATTAAATGTGAATGTAGGTTCCCATAAATGTGCAACTGGAGATACGCAGTTAACCGTATGCAGTTGTTACGGGCAAAGAGCAAAACTTTAAAGTGTACGCAACAATCTCAAAAGATTATCTGGGTAACGATAATCAATAGGGACATAAAAATTGAAGATAAATTAATTAGGGTTAGCTTATGCAGTTTAGAATTTAAAGACAGTCTTGCAATTAAAACAGGTTGTTCAAACCCGTGATGCCTCGTCCTTAAAGTGACATTTCCTAGGTTTCCCTGAATTCCTGAGGTTAAGTCTAACCATGACCTAAAAGCTACCAACAATACCTTTCAGGTTATCGCTTACAATTCCGACAAGATTTTTCCGATAACCTTTCTCAAAAGAACTGCATTTATTATTTGTTTTTCTCAGAGGACACGGTAAAGAATCCTGGAATCTTATTGGTACTTAACGCGGTCCGGGTTTTCATATCTCTGCCCAAGGGCACGGTATCGCTTGAGCGAGCCGCCGATTACATCTCCAGCTTTGTTGCTATTTTTTTAAAAAATTATTTCGTTTTGCCGGCTGGACAGTATTTTTAAGGAAATCGTTTTGGAGCAAATCAAGCCGATCGATAACTTATTAATTCTCACTTTCTCTCTTTCAGATAACTTTGTTTCCCTGCAAAAAAAATTGGTTTTGAGATGAATATTTGTAGCAAATATGTCATAAGATAGGTTAACGCGCGGCCTAAAAGCCGCTTGTAAATAACCTAAACCTTGCTAGAAGTAACTCAGAAAGTTAAAACGTGAGGTATTTCTTCACAGTTGAATCATTAATGGTAATTTCATGCGTTATGTATCTGAATTCTCTCAAAAAATTTTTTCCTTGGAGAACAGTGAGCTAGGTCTTTTTTACTTCAAATACGCTTTCGGTAAGTCTTTGCAAGTCCGTTCAAATTGGACATTGGTACCATAAATTTCGCAACAGTAAACAAAGGAATTCAACGAGAAAAAGCTGCTTTAAAATTCCCCTTTTGATGATAGACCAGAGTTGCACTCGTGATTGCAGCAAACAAACGAGGGAACTCCCACAACTTCAAAACATAGATTTAAATTTACTTAAAATTACTTTGCAGTTCAGTTTATTTGCCAAACCAGCGCCGTTGTCGTTGATTTGTTTTAAAGGGTGCATGCGTTTTTTTGTTACGTGCTCTCTAATTGACCGGTGTCAAATTGTGACAGATACTTGTCAAAAAATGTTTCAAAGTTTGTTTGGAGGCCTCTTAAATTACCTTTTTCATTACCCAAATATAAATATTTCGGTGAGGCCTCTTTTTTTATTAACATTTACTTAATATGTTTCAACTACCATTTACTCGCTCAAAATTTGTTCAGTTCAAGGAAGGTTTTGCCGCTCTTACAACCCTAACTCAACTCATATGTAAAACATTTAGTTAATTTCAAGAGGAAAAAACTGTTATTTATGAGCCTAAGTCGGTCCGTATTAGGAAAAACTGTGCAGTTTATCTCCACTACCAGTGCTCAAGAACTTGGGCACAGTATTACTCAATACAGACCTTCCAGCCGGCGAATAACATATTTATCACTGACTTGTACGAGAAACTCACACCCGGGCACACAAAAATAAATGTAATTCGATATGTTATGTTCAAAACAAAAAGCCTACACTCACTTAATTTTTGAAACATGTATTACGGAAAATTTCATGGGCAGTGTGTTCAACTACTTATGCACGCCTAAAAGTTCATTCATAGCCCACACGTTCAAGTTAGGTGAGCAGAGTATATTCTGTGAACTATGTTTTTTCTTTACTTTTAAGAAGCAAGAGCAGTTTTCATGACACAGGTGCAAGACTGCTAATGTTTCAGCACATTATATACTTTATGGTTGGAATGTGATCTTACCTCCAGGCATCTCGCAAATGTAGGCATCTCTTTTACCATTCCGAGAGATACCATTAAAGAGGCTCCCATTCATGGATATTTCCGCCCTTTCGTCGTTCACATTTGGCTCAGAATCTCGCCATTTCGAAATATTCAGCTGTTTTCCACTCTTCCATATCCAAACCCCGTATTTCCTCTCCAAACCAATGAGCCACGCATTAGTAGTCGAAGTATTCCAAGTACTACGTTTTTGAATCTCATGATTGATAAACTGCCATTCTTCCTCAGTCTCGATGGAGACTAAATAACCTCCCAAGATTGAGCAGACGTCATTGTTAGGAAACCTGTAAATTTTGCTTTTCGAAAATATGTAAGAGGAGTTTTTGAAACAGGTCGGTTGGCACTCTATAAGAAGAAAATAAATAAATAAATAAATAAATAAATAAACGAAAAATGTATACTGAAGATAGCAACACTGACTGAGCGATAATGATAAAGACGAGAAAGTATTTTTTATATTATTAATTTTAATAACAGACGATGGGCATCAAAACCCTCTACATCCCTGACGCAAATATTAGAATGACGCCAGGTTTTAAAAGTGGATCTTTGAGAGATCACCAGATCCGCACCGCTATTCTTTGACTTTTTGTTTTGCTTTCCAACTCACGTTTTGAATCGCAATCCAATGTAATTTTAAAAGGAAGTCTATAACTCATTAATATGATAATTGTCAGGTATTTGTCTTTTTTTCCTGTCTATTTAAAGGAACTTGAATATTAAATCGGAATGAAGTTGCCTCACCTGTCCCTGGCAATTTCATCAACAAACGAAGGATGACTGTAGAAGAGAAAATGGACAAATAAATTGATTGTTATCTCAAGAGTAACATTTGAAACAATGAAAAAGTTTATTAGATTTCGAGTAAGACGAGTACTAATGCATTTTATTTGCTACATGCCCTTTAACATCCATTCATGAATTTTATTACCTTCCTAGGGAGCTGATGGAGAAATTATAAAAAAATGCAGCATCTCCGCAATTCACCAACTAGCTGAACAAAACTTGTCACATGTGGAAAAATTTTTAACGATATGATAGACCCTCAGGAATGTCCTTTGGAAAATTTTTTTAAACGGGTTATTCGCGCAACCGAACTATAAACGAATGAAAAGGATGTAAAATGTGCTATCCAGAGAAATTTTTCAAGCGAATGAATCGGGTATCAAATCTGAGCGCTCAGATAAAACTTGCACAATTTGAATCTTGAGGGGTTGGTCTCCAAAATTTTGTGAGGATTTTTCCATGTTCTTGGGAGTTACAAAACTATGGATCAGCAGGCCGCGGAACCTGCGGAACCTCCAGAGCCCATATATTTTTTTTTAAAAGAAGAGCAATGGGTTGAGTACAAAGTTTGCTTTCGGGCATAAAGAAGAATAATTTAGAAGAGAAATATGTTCTAGTTAACTATGACGTCCAACTTGGCGAGCAGTCAGCAGTCATCTACTCTGAGTTTTAATGACAAAACAACAATATGAAAGCTCTAAAGGTTTGGGTACCGCGATGTCTGAATGACGCCTAATCCGAACGCTCTACGGAAACCTACTTTGCACTGTACGGAATCTAAACGGCTTTAGGAATCCAATTTATAAGAGATCCATGTCTGATTAAGAACTAAAAGTTTTGTTTTAATTAACAGTGCCAAATATCCGCCACCTGGCATTTTTTCTCTGTTTGGTTTGGCTCAATTTCACAGGACTTTCCAAAATGGATATTAATGTGTCACAAATGGAAAGTCAAGGTATAATTAGGGTGGTACTAACCTAGCGAACAACATATACGAATGTGTCATTACGGGTGATTATTATTAATCAATTATTTTAAATTGTATGGAAAGAGAAAAATATTGAGAAGCTAATAATAACGATAATGGTGATAGTTAGCTTTAATAATTAGACAACAACTCGAGAGGATATGTTCGGAGTTTGGTATGTTTCGTATTTAGAATTCCGTAAGTTTAAATATCGAAATAAATATTTTACACTAGAAAGTCCATTTCGACGGTTTCATAGCTACCCCAGAACAAACAGAAATAAGTAGGGTCGTACTCACCCAGCATACAACATATTACCGGGGTTCTGAACATTTTTCCGGATTCACTTATATTTGATTCACACCGCTTGAGAATTGCGGTTTTGCGGCATCCTCATAAAAAGCCTTTCGTACGAGTTGGAGTTTAATGCAAATCATGATCTCTGAACACATGTTCATGGCGTTAGTCTCCATTTTTTTTTCTGTCATAGACGGACCAATAGACAAAAAGCAACTTGCACCTGATGTAGAGCATTGTTTTTCTAATACAATTGGAAAGCTTCACGTCATTAAAATACTTTTTGTAGTCTAAGTGCTGCAGAAGAAGCAGCTAAAAAATATTTGATGGTAAGAACGGTAATTTCTTTATGAGCTCTGTTAAATGAAAGTGGTCCAAAACAAAATTCTGTTTTATCAACGGGCAGCTTAACCTAGAATGCCATCTGTTCCTTATGCATAAATGGAAATTATTGTTATTTATTCATCTCGCTTATGACACGCTAATTACCTCGTATGCCTTTAAAACAACGGTGGCTAACGGCCAAAGTTTAGTTTTTAGCCTACAAAACAACTCTCTCCTAGAAAAGCGTCATGCAGACTATCACTTTTGTTTCCAAATGTTTGAATTCCAACAATTTAGAACGAGCGGTGAGTCAAAAGCTCTCAGTGCGAGACGTTCTTGGGTCATAGTGATGTGCTCTGTGGGCGAGACATTCTACTCTCTCAGTATCTCTCCACGCTCATGGAATAATTGATCATTTATTCTGGAATATTCACTCGTCTTAGCTGCGATGTATTCAGTCAATCGAAGCTTGAAACGTTTTTACCCATCGCATTTGAGCAGTTTAGAGAGAAAAGTGCTTGTATATTTCAGAATAATTTTTATTTTAACTTCTTCCGTTTTAATCGCACGCTTCGTCACCATGTTTATTTATAAATGGGTATGACGTAAACTAGACTATTATAAACTGTTAGCCTCATCTACATAATTAACTCCTTCTCTCGCTTGTTGAAATTCCTCTGCAATGCTAAGTTCCGCCGTAGTGATATTTGAAAATCAGGCCCATCGAAATATTCTGAATTTCTATCGCTAAGCTTTTTCCTCTAAATTGTATACTATGTGTAAAAGTTCTTTAATCGTTGTTCAATAATGTGTGCCGAACAGTTTATAATCTCTTGGTTTATGCCTTTTCCGGCTAACATTGCCCCAGTTTAATTCCAAATTAATCGATGTATATTCGATTTAAAACGATACTCCTAATTTTAGGAATGCGAAAAAAAATGGTTAAATGTAACTGATCCAAAAAAAGATCCAGTTATAAGGATTTTTTTCTGTTCTTTCTAAATAAGTTGTTTACTTATTCAAACATTTACGTATTGATCTATTTATTCATTAAGCAACAACTTTGAATGTCAGCGTTAGCAGCTAAGACTATAAGTATTATTTGTTATGGTACAATTTAACAGACAAAAAGAGCATCGTTTATCAACAGACCCATTTAATTTATTAAACAACTTGTAATATTCTTGCCAAGGAGCGACTCTTAAAAAATTAGAATAATTATCCTTTAAAAACTGATTGAAACCCACCACAAACCACTCCTTTCATCACTACTGACATAATCTCGAAGTTGTCTCCAAAGTAACTCGAGATTAAAAATCTTCCACGGTTGCTCTCTATCGGTATAGGTTTCTGAAAAGTCAGTCCCTCCCGACAACAAGTATTACTGCTGCACGACTGTGTCCTTATGTACAAAGTATTCTCTAAAATTCCGGACGCTTACAACACAACTATATTGGTAACTATATACACAACTATATTGGTAGCACAACAAATCGATCGACAGGCAGCACTACAAACGGCCGAGAAGGAGAACACTGACCGCATTCCATTTACTCTTACATTTCACCCTCACAACCACGCAGTTAAATCTATCATTCTTAAAAATTTTAAATTACTCCAAAACGATTCAGAGACTGGCACTATCTTTTCGCAACTCCCACTTATTTCATACAAACGTGACAAAAACATAGGCAACTTTTTAGTCAGGAGTTCATTTCAAACCTATGACCAATCTGGAACTTTTAAATGCGCTCGCTCACGATGCAAAACTTGTCCTTTCATTCATAACGTAGAGAAAATATCGGGACCCAAAAGATCCATTAAGATCATTGATCACTTTACGTGTACCTCCGCCAATGTTATTTACTGCATAACTTGCACTTATTGCAATAAGTTATACGTCGGCGAAACAGGAAGACGACTGGGTGACCGATTCCGAGAACACCTTCGCGATGTGGAACCTTTACGGTGGCTAATTTACGTTTTCAACCCAGTTGTTAACTTTAAATTACCTGCTATACTCTCCCACCGACGCAGCACCACAGTTTCTTTAGAAACTTACCCCTATATTGGTAGTGTTACATCATATCTATGTAGCCTAGTAAACTGCTCCAGAAAGTCCCTTGGTATGCATTTCCGCATGACTAGGCATTCTCGAAATTTTTTGAAACCTATAGTTTCAGTTATTATCCATAGCTTAATGTTTAAAGTAATGACAGTGTTTGGTGAGAAGTTTGTAAACTTAATAAGTGAAACGTCGAATATGAAGTAATCATGCGGTAAGTGCAGAAAGTTAGCGCGCAAGAATCGAAAGATAAATACATTCAATTAAAGCTGCGTGCTAGAGTGCTTCTTAAAGAAAGACAATTCGTGATATCTTGGCTTAAATTCACGCCTCCTCTGTAGTGGACTGTGGTCTTATTCGAAGGAAAGTCATCAAGATACTGAGCTATTAGAAATTTAAATTTATAGATTGGTTTATTTCGATTAATCTTGTCCACAAATATGCGATCGCCCCTCCCCCCCAAAAAAAAAAACTTGTTATCGTAAAGAAGATAGATTACAATTACAGCTAGTTTAGTGCTTAAACAATAATGAAAAGAAAGACCTCTTTTCAGCTGCAGATCGCAAGTCAGATCGATCGGAACCGACTTATTGCTGTTAACTAAGTGATTGTACTAGGTAGTTGACTGTCATGTCCGGTTGGCTGGATCCAGTTATTTAAGTTAGGTGCGATTTCGATTCAAACTCAGTACAAGACTGCAATTCAACTGCCCATACATCCCCAGCCTCACTTGGATTGACCTGTGAGCTCTTCCTTGTGGATTTTTTCTCTACAGCAGATGGAAAAACGATATTCATCTTTCTTTTTAATCTCTCTCTGATCTGCTGATAGACGAGCAACACGAAATATGGTTTTTAGCACTAGTATTCGAATATCTATCTAAACACTAAAACTTGATGATATAGTGTTATTGATCAGTTTGATGTTTCTTTTCTTACCTGAGTGTTTCGCATACAGTGTAGAGCGAAAATCAGGAAACCCTGAAGTATTAAAATGATTTCAAGATTATTAATTTTACAATATGCAAACAAATTAGTCAAATGCCTATTAAGATTTACAAGAAGGAAAGAAAATTGCATATCTTATAATTGAAAAAGAAGTCTGCCTTCTCTTGCATAGTCAACAGCATTTTTGTTTTCAAAATTCCAAAAAATTATCATGTGATCATTGTAATGGTGTCTCACTTGGAATGGTGTCTCACTTGGCTAGAAAATAAAATAATGATAGAGATTGACTAACTTTGAGAGTTATCGTCGAACACTGACCTGAGTAGAGTTAAGTATGGTGAAGATGTAAACGAAAGCTTTATGTGCAGACGAGAGGAGACCAAATAGCCACGTGACACCCAGCAGGGGAATCATCACCACGCATGCTTTGATGCCAGTTCTTGGAGTAAAATAGAAAACATTCCTTTATTTTCCTGTGACAATGAATTTTCATTTTTAGATATCACAAGGCCTTACTGATTAAGGAATGAGGAAGTTAGGCCAATAGAGCCTCAAAGGAGGACATGGCAACCTCTTCCACTATTTTGTTTTATTTTTATGTGAATCTTACCATATTTTCTGAGAATCGTGGTCTTTCCCTGTTGGCTGCAACAAATTGGTCATCTCCTTCATGACTCGTACGAGTATCAAGATATTGAGCTGAAGAATACAATAGAAATAAATTGATTAATAAGATATGGTTATCCATTAGCCAAAGCAAGAGGGGATCCTTGCCAGAGAAGTTACTAGTTTGGTAACAATCGTGGGATGAAGAGTCATTTACAGGGAATAGAACTCCCAGCCAGGGGACCTAGATTATGAGCTTCGATTCTCTGACAATGAGATAAAGCAATTGCGAACTGAAGTTTCTGAACTATGCAAACTGAATCCTCATGTTAAATTGCATAAATTTAATATCTCCTACTCCTCCTACTCCTTTCATCTTATTCAATGTTTTTTAAGAGTTAATTTTGCGCGAAGAACATATCTTGGTATATCAATGTGAAACAGTAAGAAAACTTCAACAAGGAAGGGGAAGAATCATTTTACTCATTCTATGTAGTATGTAGTAAAGTTAGAGAGTTTATGAAGCTATCTCTTTTCTGTGTAGACATTGTGTCGACAGGTTTTACTCGCTATTAAAGGCTATCACTAAGTTAGAATTGAACAGCATCCTCGCAAACAGCAGCTACGTCCAAAGTTTGTTGTGAGTAAATAGGAAAAGGGAAATATTAATATTGTGTGGGTTCATATCACAAATACTTAATTCGTTTTTTAAAGAGCAGAGAAAAAATCTTTAGCAGCAAGTGTCCAGGTATACCAATCACAATCACCAACACTAATCATAAACTTACCACTTCAATGAAAGCCACAAAGGCGACGAATGTCCAGATCAGGTTGTTAGTCGAGGAAAGCCAGCAACTAAACTCGAGGAAGTGAAACACAAGAAAGAAACACAAATTTTCAGAAAATGAAATGATACCGATTTCAAACTATATGCAAAAACAAACAAACAATTAACTGCAACGAATTAAAAGGAGAAGAGCAAGAAAAAACCATTGAATTTTTTTTCTTTCTATTTATCACTCGTATAGCTTTGTAATCCTTCTTTCCCTGCAGCGATGCCGAGTGAAATGGCCACCATGATTACTGGAAGACCTACCCATGAAGAAAGGAAAGAAATCTAACACTTTACTGCATGAAAATACCAAATTTGGCGATCCGAAAGCATTGTTACAGTAAGCAGTACATGTTTGAAAAAAAATAAAAAACTCACCCCATGAGATGACGTGATACATGTACATCTTGGTGTTAATATTGTAAACTTTCACAACGAAGAGGTAGAGATAAATTCCCTCGATCAGCATCCAACAGAAAGCGGCCATCATGAAAGACTGCATCAGAGCTGCTATTGTAACACAGGCCGCCTGTGGAAAGAAAGAGTTTTCGTATAATTCTTAACGTGCACCTTTCGACAAGGTATTCACAATGCAAAGAGTAATTTCATTCTATGGATAGAAGGAGAAGCCACTGACTTTGTTTCCTGTGGCGTTTATTCCAGCGAGGAAGATGATCTGTCCAGCTCCAAGGGACATAGAAACACTTAGCCGAATTTGAGAGAGAGGTTGACAAACATGAAGTAATAGTAAAAACAAAAAGAATGAATGAGACAAGATAAATGCAGCATCAACAATAACATCAACACACTGAAACTACACTGAAGACAGCAAGAACAGCAAAACACAACAAAATTGAATTAAAAAACACATAAGAATATGGCAAAAATTAATTAAATCTTGACAGCAAAGGAAAGAGTCAAAAAAGGAAATTATTACGAAGAAGATAACAAAACCTTAAAAAATTCAAAAACCGCGAAACCGTAAGTTGTTCAAACGTTCGTGATGGGGCATGAAATGTGGCTGGAATTTGTGAATTATCCGACATACATGTTCTTGTTTGCATAGAGAATTGCACTGAGATCTCTTTTCTCACCAGCCTTGTTGAGGGGAGTTAAAAATCTACCTTATTATAATTCAGGTACATTACCTACGTGAGGCAAGTATAGAGTATTGATGTCAAAAGTATCCCGACGATGGAAAGGCTCAGTCCCACGTTGGTGATAATTTTCAGAATTGTTTCGTCCTCCTCGGTGAGCTGTGTCAAAAATAGAAAAAAGTAAAGGACAACATTGAGTAAGTTTATTGAGCCCATAAAATTATTGAGTGAGGCAAAAATAACCTTATCACATTTGTTCTACTGTCGTAGTCCATTAAGACGGCAAAATGCGTCAAATGATTGCAGCTACAAACTGTTTCTTCTGAGTTGCTTTTTGATGTAATTACATGGCATCCTTCCTCTGAAAAGCTGTCACACATAAAAAAAGTAAAGTTAACAAAGGGCACAACATTATTCATTGTTTGGGGAAGAGGTGACTTTTGACAATTTTGCGCAATTTTTGCACTTTAATGAGACGTCCCCTCTCTAAAAAGGACAACATGTTGGCTTCTAGTAAAGTGTTAATCTGCCCAAAAACATCTGAGAAAGTTCATTCATACTCCTTGATACTTAATTTAAGAAGGAATAAATACTATACAGCAATATATTGCAATTTTTTTTACCTTTTGCTGAGGCCACTCCAGAACATACAGCGCTTCTCCGCTGTCAAGATCTGAAAATGGATTTTATCTTGTCAAAATAAATAAAAAAACGCATAGCAGCTAATTTTCATGTTACCTTTAGGTTTTTGAACTTTAGGATGACATTCTCTCGCAATTTCTCTTCCTTGAAAGTCCATAGTTACGGCCATTATCCTAGAGTTGATATGCCTATGAAGGAAATTGTATTTGAAAATGAATCAGAACCAAGGAACCGCATTACATACTTTTGGTAGATTCAAGCGAGTTTCTCATGAAGGCGAAATGGTCAGAGACAAGCAGGGAAGCTTCCAACCTTAACTAGGGTTTTTGGAAAGTTTCTCAGTTCAGTTTAGTTAAACTTAGATCTTATGTGTTTCCGTGTTATGTGTTTTTGGGGTAAAACGACGTGGAATAATACAAAAATAACGTCACCTTTGGTTGTCTGTTTCACTCCTGATGGCGTGATCTGTCAGAAGTAATTCATGCAGATCCTTGTACAAAAACGCAACTACCATTGATCCTTTAAACCCGCCAAGAATCAACAAAAAAGTCATCAAACAACAACAACATAAAAAAAACCAAAATTGAAATGTTTATCAGGGTATGAGGTATGTGACATTAGATGGGAAGTGAATGATGAAAGAAGATAGACTATGTAATCTAAGAAAGCGCGTTTTTATGAGGCTATATTTCAATACAGAAATTTCTATTGGAGAAAACAAGGTAACACTAAAAGTTGTAAAGTTACCACAGTAGCTAATACCAGCCATTTTCTTCAAAATTTGAAGAAGCGATACCGATTCTGGCTTGCCATTGCTGTTCCTCAAAGTGGAAGCCACTTGCATTCTGACGATAGGCTTTTTGAATGACCAAAACTGTCGGGAAAAAAATGACAAATGAAAGCACTTACGATGAAATTTACAATAGCACATCTACACAATATGCGTTTTGCGGTGCACACAAATATTTCATAACCTTATTGGATGGACGTGTATTGTTTGTATCTTATTTGCCCTTCAACAACTATTTGACGATTTCAACCATTTTACAACCTTTTTTCAATGCAAAACTGATGAAAAAGTGAGTAGTACTGCACGGACTAAATTTGTGAATACTCAACTCGTTCCTCGAACCGTTTTGTTGGAGAACTAGAGAGTTCACAAGGGAGTTTTTACGAGTATGGTTAAAATTCTTGCATTTTTCATCGCAGACGATAGGCCAATTTTGAGCTCAGTGTCTAGTATGAAGTAAGCGGAAAGTATTTGTAATATTTGACAATTTCAGTTAGTAAAGCGTTACTCACCAATCTCAGTATTATTTAAGAAAAGTTTCAATAAACAGAGAAAAAGAAGGATTTCACAATTTGAAGGATTCCTATTTTCTGTTGTCTATTTTTCAAGAATAACTTGAATTTCCTTCTTCACCGCGAAAAATCAAAGTATCAAACAAATTAAAAGAACAGATAAAACGATGACTTCCAACAATAACGTTTCTAATAAGTTGGGCTTATAACTGAGTTCTTACATCATCTAAGAAATGAGAAAACGCAGTCGATCAGTCAGCAAGTCAGTAAATAACAAAGGAATGAGCTTTGAAACTAAACGGGGTTTAATGCCGCAACCTCACCCATTTTTGGGAAAACGATCCTTTCTGAAGGCCTCATTCCACTCAGGTGTCGCTTGCTATAATTAAGAGCAGAATTCTCGACGGCCTCTGCAACCTCAAAGATGGATGCTTTCAGTGTTTTAACCTCTTCTACGTCGGTCTTGACATTTGTGACGTTCTGTGACGTTTTAAGGTGAAATCTTCAAACACAGTTACATCCTCCTACAATTACATAAAATATTTCCAGGTCATTGACTAGACTTTCTCATATATACAATTCATATAAAAGATGCGGAAAAAGTCCAGCAGGAGGCCCCAAATGGTGTTCAGGGTATTCATTTGCTAAAGAACTATTTTAGAGGCCTGAAGTATTTTTTAAGCCTCACCATTCTCCCTTCAAATGGCTTGAATGGCGGTTTATCCTGTAAGGTCAGATATTTACTTTTGATGGTTTAAAATCATATATCAAAGTTAAAAAGCCTTTAAGTTATGAAAATTAGATATATGTGTAGAAGTCCTTCTGGTAATATTTATTCCGCAAAATTTTGAAACATACTCCTTTGCCTAGAGTAAAAAAAAACACAATTGTCGCAGAGAAGATCCTGGAAAGGTCAGATATTTACTTCTTATCATTTAAGAACATATATCAAAGTTAAAAGCCTGTAAGTTATGAAAATTAAATACCTGTATGGAATTCTCTCTAGTAACATTTATTTCGTCAAATTTTGAAACATACTCATCTGCCTAGAATTGAAAAAATAATGTCGGTCACTATCCTGGGTGATGGTGAAGGCGGCGATAAAGATATTAATGAATCTTTAAAGAAAAATGTCGATCAAAACCACATCATACACGAAAATTTCCTAACACCGTGGGGGCAAAAATTCGGACGGAGAGCAAGTAAAAAAATGGCCGCCGTGAATGATTCAAACTCTTAAATGTACTCGATTTTTTTTATCGTCATAACGATTTTTTCCAGCCGGAAAACCTAAAGGGATCGGTCGTAGGAAAATCAAGATATAATTAAGGTGTTACTAACCTAAGGTAAAACTGTTAAAAACAGTTTTTTCACACTTTGGCGGATTCAGTTGCACTCATCACGCAATTTATTAAGCACAGTATAGGTTGCTGTCAATAGCTGTCTTTACTCTTATACGAATGTGTCATTCCGGGTAATTCTTTGTTCAATTATTCTACATTATACGGAGAGTGAAAAATATTGAGAAACTTATAACAATGATAATGATGATAATACAAAGATCCCCAGGTTTTGCTTTAACGATTAACAAATAGTTTAGAAAGGACATGTGTAGAGTTTTGTATGTTTCGTTGTTCCGTAGGAGTAGAAATCGGAATAAATATTTCACATATTGAAAGTCAATTTCGACGGTGGCGTAGCTACCGTTGAACAAACAGGAATAACTAGGGTCGTACTTACCCAGCACACAACATATTAAAAGGGATTTGAAGTTTTCGCCGGATTCATTGCCATTTACCATCCACTTCGTCATGCCCAAGATAATCAAAGGTTCCGGTTAAGAGTTATCGTTACGGTTATATCTGTTTCATCTCACTGGGAAGTTTTGGATTTTGTACGAGTTAGAATTAAACGCAAATCATGATCTCTGAACACATGTTCATGGCGTTAGTCTCCATTTTTTTTGCTGTCATAGACGAACCAATCGACAAAAAGCAGCTTGCACCAGACGTGAAGCATTTATTTCTCTCAATACAATCGGAAAACTTCGCGGTATTAAAATAGTTTTTCTAGTTCAAGTTTTGTAAAGAAGCAGCTCAAATGCAACTGATGTTTAGAATAGTAATTTTTTTAATGAGCTCTGCTAAGTGAGAGTTGTATCAAACAAACTTCTGTTTTATTAACTGGCGGCTTAAGGTTGTATGCCATCTGTTTGTATGCATAAATGGAAATGATTTATATATATTCATCTCGCCTATGACATGCTAAGCGTTTCAGTTGGTGGGTCTAATTACTTCGCATGCCTTCAACCTTGATGGACTAACTCGCTCGTGTGTCAATTTACATATGTTATTATTATTTTCATTTCACGGCAAACTCCGAGTCAAAGGATTTCTTTCCGGTTCTCTTAGATCACGGATTCGATGTGAATTTACATAAAGTTGATCGTTAATTGATCAGAAAACCAACGGAGGCTAACGGCCATAGTTTAGTGTTCAGCCTAAAAAACAACTCTCCTATGCAAACGCATCATACAGATCATCACTTTTGTGTCCAAAAGTTTGAATTCCATCATTTTAGAAGGACTGGTGGGGTCAAAAGCTCTTAGTGCGAGACGTTCCTGGGTCATAATGATATACTCTGTGGGTGAGACATTCTACTCTCCTAGTGTCTCCGCGATCATGGAGTAATTGATTCGTTATTCCGGAATATTCCTTAGCTGCGATCTATTTATTCAATGGAAGCATTAATCGTTTTGACCCATCGCATTTGAGTGGTATGGAGAGAAATATATTTGTATATTCCAGACTAATTCTTTTTTTTTTAATTCTTCCGTCTTAATCGTAAGCATCATCATCATCCATGTTTATTTATAAATGAGTATGAGGTAACCGAAACCGTTGTAAACTGTTAGGCACATCTACATAATCGACTCCTTCTTTGGCTCGTAGGAATTCCTCTTTCATGCTACGTTTTTGCTGTAGTAATATTTGAAAACCAGGCCCATGGAAATATTTCGCATCTCTATCTCTAAGCCTTTTCCTTTAAATTGTATACTCTGTGTAAAAGTTCTTTAATCATTGTTTAATGATGTGTGCCGAATGGTTTATAATCTCTTGGTTCATGGTTCATGCCATTTCCGCCTAACATTGCCTCAATTTAATTCCAAATTAATCGATGTATTTTCGATTCAAAACGATGCTCCATACCTTAGGAATGCGAAAAACAAATGGGTAAATGCAACTGATCCATAAAAGATCCTTCCTAAGGGGTTTTTCCCGTTCTTCTAAAATTATTTGTATATTTATTCAAACATTTACGTAATCATCTACTTATTCATTAAGCAACAGCTTTGAATGTCAGCATTAGCTGCTAACACTATCAGTATTATTTGTTACAGCACAATTTAACCGACAGAAAAGTATTATTTATCAACAAACCCAACTAATTTATTAAACAAGTTGTAATATTCTCACTAAAGAGGGACTGTTCAAGAAATTAGAATATTTATCCTTAAATAAACTGATTGAAGCCCACCACAAACTATTTCCTAGCTCACCACTGACACAATCTCATAGTTGTTTCCAATGTGCCTCGAAATTAACAATCTTCCACAGTAGTTCTCTCTCGGTACAGCTTTCTGAAAAATCATTCACTCCCAACAACAACAAGTATTACTGCTGCACGACTGAGTCCTAACGTACATAGTATTCCACAAAATATAGCTATATCGTTAGTGTTACATCATAACTACGTAACCTATAAAAATGCTTCAGAAAATCTCTTTGGTATGAATGTCAGCGTGACTAGGCATTCTAGAAATATCTAGAAACCTGTAGTTACAGTTACTATCCATAGTTTATTGTTAATAGTAATGACATAGTTTGATGAGAATTTTGTAAACTCAAGAAGGGAAACGTCGAATATGAAACAATCATGCAGTAAGCGCATAAATTTAGCGTGAAAGAATCAAAAGATAAATACATTCAATTAAAGCTCCCTGCTAGAGTGCTTTTTAAAGAAAGACAATACGTGGTTTTTCTGACATAAATTCTCACTTCGTTCTTAGAAGACTGTGGTCTTATTCAAGGGGCAGTTATCAATATACATTGAAGAAGATAGGTTATAATTACAACTAGTTGAATGTTTAAACAATAATAAACAGAATGATTCTTTTTTTTTAACCTCAGATTTTAACTCAGACCAATCGTAACCGACTAATTGCTGTTAACTAAGTAATTGCACTTAGTTATTGACTGTTATTTCCGGTTTGTTGGATCCAGTTAATTAAGTTTAGTGTGATTTCGATTCAAATTCAGCACAAGACTGCAATTCAACTGCCCATACATCCACAACCGCAGTTGGATTGGCCTGTAAGCTCTTCCTTGTGGAGTTGTCCCTTATAGAAGATGGAAAAACGATATTCATCTTTCTTTTGAATCGCTCTCTGATCTGCAGATAGATGAGCAACATGAATATGGTTCTTAGCACTTGGACATTTATCGAAACACTAAGACTTTATGATATGGAGTTAGCGTATAATTACTTCAATGGTTTCTCTTACCTGAGTGTTTCGCATACAGTGTAGAGCGAAAAACAGGAAACCCTGCAGCATAAACATGATTTCAAGATCGTTGCTTTTTATAATATGCAAACAAATTAGTCTAATATCAGTTAAGATTTCCAAGAATAAAGGAAAATTTCACATCTTATCAATGAAAAAGAAGTCTAACTTCTCTTGCTTGGTTAACAACTTTTCGTTTTTGCAACGTTGTCTCACTTGGTCATAAATTAACATAAACAGCAGAGTTTGGATGATTTTTGAGAGTTAAAATCCAACACTTACCTGAGCAGAGTTGAGTAGGGTAAACATGTAAGCGAACGCTTTATGTACAGGTGAGAGGAGACCGAATACCCACGTGACACCCAGCAGGGGAATCATCACCACGCATGCTTTGATGCCAGTTCTAGGAGTAAAAAATAAAACGTTCCTTTTATTTTACCTTGACAATGAAATTTCATTTTTAGATATAGTAAGACCTTACTGATTAAGGAATGTTAGGCGAATAGAGCCTCACAGGAGGACATGGCAATGTCTTCCACTATTTTAATTTAGTTCTATGTTGCGAATCTTACCGTATTCGCTGAGAATGGTCGTCTTCCCCTGTAGGCTGCAACAAATTGGTCATCTCTTTAATGACTCGTACGAGTATCAAGATATTGAGCTGAGGAATACAATAGAAATAAATTGATTATTTAGATGCTGTTGTCAAATAGCTAAAGCAGGAGAGGATCCTTGCCCAAGACGGTAATAGTTTGGAGTCATTTACAGGGAATAAAACTCCCAACTGGGGAACATAGATTATGAGCTTCGATCCTCTGACAATGAGCTAAAGAAATCGCCAACCAAAGTGTGTGAACTGAATGAACTATGCAAACTGAATCCTCATGTTAAACTACATAAATTTAATATCTCCTATTCCTCCTGCTCCTTTCATCTTTTTTGTTTTTTAAGAGCTATTTTTGCGCGAAAAATTTATCTTACATCAATGTGAAACAGTGAGAAAACATCAAAAGGAAAGGGGAAAAATATTTTTCTCACTATGTAGTTAAAGTTTTAGTTAAAGAATTTATGAAGCTATCTTTTGCCTGTGAAGACATTGTCTCAACAGGTTTTACTTGCTATTGAAGGCCATCACTAGGTTATAATTGACTGGCATCCTCGCAAACAGCAGCTACGTCCAAAGTTTGTTGTGAGTAAATAGGAAAAGGAAATTGGTAAATATTGTGTGGGGTCATATCCTAAATGTTTAATTCGTTTTTTAAAGAGCAGAGAAAAAATCTTTAGCAGCAAGTAGTCCAGGTGTACCAATCAAAATCACCGACACTAATAATAAACACTAATAATAAACTCACAACTTCAATGAAAGCCACAAAGGCGACGAATGTCCAGATCAGGTTGTTAGTCGAGGAAAGCCAGCAACTAAACTCGAGGAAGTGAAACACAAGAAAGAAACACAAATTTTTAGAAAATGAAATGATACCGATTTCAAACTATATGCAAAAACAAACAAACAATTAACTGCAACGAATTAAAAGGAGAAGAGCAAGAAAAAATCGTTGAATTTTTTCTTACTATTTATCACTCGTATAGCTTTGTAACCCCTCTTTTCCAGCAGCGATGCCGAGTGAAATGGCCACCATGATCACTGGAAGACCTACCCATAAAGAAAGAAAGGAAATCGAAACACTTTACTGCATCACAACAAAAGATTTGGCGATCCGAAAGCATGGTTACAGTGACCAGTGCATGTTTTAAAATAATAAACCTACCCCATGAGATGATGTGATACATGTACATCTTGGTGTTAATGTTGTAAACTTTCACAACAAAAAAGTAGAGATAAATTCCCTCGATCAGCATCCAACAGAAAGCGGCCATGAAGAAATACTGCATCAGAGCTGCTATTGTAACACAGGCAGCCTGTGGAAAGAAAGCCGGTTCTCGTATAATTCTTAACGTGCTCCTTTCGACATGATATCTATGGTGCAAAGAGTAAATTCATTCTATAAATAGAAGGAGAGGCCACTGACTTTGTTTTCTGTGGCGTTCATTCCGGCGAGGAAGATGATCTGTCCAGCTCCAAGTGACATAGAAACACTCAGTCGAATTTGAGAGAGAGGTTGACGAACATCTCTGGTGAAATAATAGTAAAAACAAAAAGAATGAATGAGACAAAAGCAACAACAACAATAAAAAAAAACACTCAGGAGACAGCAAGAACAGCAAAACACAAGAAAATTGAATTAAAAGACAGAAAAATATGACTAAAAAAATTAACTAAATCTTGATACCAAAGGAAAGAAAAAAGTGAGCAATAGCCACAGAAAGGACATAAAAGGGAAATATTAGGGAGAAAATGTCTAAACCCTAAACAATTCATAAACCGTGAAACCATGAATTGTTCAAGCGTTCGTGATGGGGCATGAAATGTAGCTTGAATTTGTTAAAATATCCGACAGGCATGTTCTTGTTTGCATGGAGATTTGCATTGAGATCTCTTTTTTCACCAGCCTTGTTGAGAGGAGTTAAGAATCTACCTCATTATTATTCAGATACATTACTTACGTGAGCCAAGAATAAATTATTAATGTTAAAAGTATCCCGACAATGGAAAGGCTCAGTCCCACGTAGGTGATAATTTTCAGAATTGTTTCGTCCTCCTCGGTGAGCTGTGTCAAAAAAAAGAAAAGTAAAGGACAGCATTGAGTTAGTTCATTGAGCCCATAAAACTATTGAGTAAAGTAAAAATAACTCTATTACCTTTGTGCTACCGCCGTAGTCAATTAAGACTGTAAAATGCGTCAAATGATTGCAGTTGCAAACTGTTTCTTCTAAGTTGCTTTTTGATGTAACTACATGGTATCCTTCCTCTGAAAAGCTGTCAGACATGAAAAAAAAAGTAATTCAACAAAGCGTACAAAATTATTCGTTTCTAGGGAAAGATGTGATGTTTGACAATTTTGCGCTAAGTTTTTCCTCCATTGTGGTTTTAATTGTGAGAACATTTCAATCAGACCTCGCCTCTCTAAAAACGACAACATGCTCATTAATTCTCCTCCAAACTTAATTTAATTCAAGAAGGAATAAATACCATACAATAGTATATTGTATTTTTTTATACCTTTTGCTAATGTCACTCCAAAACATACAGCGCTTCTCTGCTGTCAAGACCTGAAAATAGATTTTATTTTGTCAGTATAAATCAAAACAACACATAAAAATTAATTTTAATGCTACCTTAAGGTTTTTTAACTTTAGGATGACATTTTCTCGCAATTTCTGTGGCTTGGGGTCCATAGTTACTGCCATTATCCTGGAGTTGATAAACCTATGAAGGAAATTGTATTTGAAAATGAATGAGAACGAAGGAAGCAACATTATATACTTTTGGCAGATTCAAGCGAGCTTTTCATAAAGGTGGAATGGTCAATGATAAGCAGGAAGACTTCCAACTTTAGTTGGGGTTTTTGAAAATTTTTAAGTTCAGTTTGGTTGAACGTAGATCTTATGTGTTTCCACGTTATGTGTTTCTAGGGAAAACGACACGCAATAATACAGAACTAACATCACCTTTTGTTGTCTGTTTCACTGCTGATGGCTCGATCTGTCAGAAGTAACTCATGCAGATCCTTGTACACAAACGCAACTACCAATGATCCTTTAAACCGCCAAGCATCAACAAAATAAGTTATCAAATAACAACAAGAACAAAAAAAAAACAACATTGAAATGTTTATCAGGCTCTGAGGTATGTGACATTAGAGGGAAGGCGAATGATTAAAGAAGATAGACTATGTAAACTAAGGAAGCATATTTATATGAGGGTTTATTTCAATACATAAATTTCGATTAAAGAAACCAAGGTAATACTAGAAGTTGTAAAGTTACCACAATAGTTAATACGAACCATTTTCCTCAAAATTTGAAGAAGCGATATCGATTTTCACTTGCCATTGTTGTACCTCAAAGTGGAAGCCACTTGCATTCTGGCGAAAGGCTTTTTGAATGGCCAAAACTGTCGGGAAAAAAATGACAAATGGAAGCACTTACGGTAAAATTTACAATAGCACATTTACCCAAACATACGTTTTGCGGTATACACAAATATTTCATAATCTTATTGGATGGGTGTGTAATGTTTGTATCTTATTTGCCCTTCATCGACTCATGAGAGGACGGATATGGCTTTTACTGCAAGTATCATCTCCCGCAGCGTTATTTCCCCGGGTCTGTTGGGAATGTGTGAAAGCATGTCAAACTGTAGGAGATCAACTTATCATCGCTAGTCATTGGGGTCCTGGTTAGTGTTGTAATGCGACTCCATAACCTTTCAAACTGTAGAGATCAATGTGTCATCGCTCGTGAATGGAGTCCTGGTTAATGTTATGAATGTCGTAATATGATTCTTTAATCTTAATAAAAGACTCCATTCTTTTGCCTGTTGTCCTGTTGTCTTAACCGGCTTTCAACCACGAGTTGTTTGTTAGTGGTAGGATGGCATGTTCTTTCTACGACATATTTGTGGGTATGCAGCTATCCCGTATGGTGAATAACTAAAAGCGCTTTCCAGTAGCCTGTTGGTAAACGGCTTTCTCCCAGATCTTCACGGTCAATTGATTTCGTGGGCGTATCGAAATATCGAGCCTGACACCCTTAACGCATGCGTACTTGTCTTCAATTATTCTGTCAAAAACATCATTTAGATTTCGAGCATGTCTAATCAACACGACTTATTTAGTATGCGAGGAACTGTGAGAAATGTGAACTTGTAGAGGAGAGTCAGTGGAGTTATGGTTATCCTCCCACCTTTAGATTTTTAGCGCGAACATAGCTTACATACACGGATACACAGGATAGGTACGAGATGAGAGATGAATATACAAAAATGTTTCAGGGATGAGGCCTTCTGTGCCACTTGGCGCGAAGAAGTTAGGTGAAGGTGAAGTTGCTACAATGGAACTTAATAATTGAAAGAAAATGTTAACTAACATACCTTGGTTTTTCAATCATTAATTTTAAGAGAAGGCTTTGGCTTTGGCTTGTGAAAACGCTTGGAAATAGATCTTAAATTTTAGAAAAAGGGAAAAGTCTCTGCTTAAACTCAAAGCCTAAATGCTGACTCCTAGGTTCAAGCTGGCAGTGTCCTAATACAAAGTTTTTTGAGCCACAGCATCCTTGTTTTATTCCTAAGTTAATTTTTGGCCTTTGCCAGTGGACTGCAAGAGTTATTGTTACAATAGCAAACAGAAACTGGCAAAAAGATGAGTCATCTTGGCAGTCCTGCTGATAAAAGATGTGACATCTTCACAACAGGAATACTGATTTGCTAAAGTAACAATGGAAACAGAATGTTATCTTGCATATGCCTAATTCTTCTATTCTTGATTATTTTCTTCTTCCTTTCTTTCCCAATATTTCAACTACAAGAAGGCTTAGGCTCAAATAATTTATTATATCATTTTTGCCTACATTTATGTTATTCTAGATCTCACAGTGAACACTAATGTAATAGGGAACACAGTTGTGTGGCAGATGATAATGATCAAATGAATAAGTCTACTGAATTCATTTAAAAGTACTATGTTTACACACTAGATGGACGGTACCATTGACACTGATAAGTCTCAAAACAGGTCAAAGCCTATCATTTGGTCACATAGAAACACACCCAAACTACTGTGTCATGCACCAGGTCTGTTAGTAAGGGCTATTCTTCAGGGTTCTGATATTCAAAATTACACCAGAGTTAAGATAGTGTGCACTTATTTCTAAGAACTCAGAAAACAACACACCAGAACAGATGGGTTCTCAAGGCAACCCACCCAGTTTTAACTTTGTTTATTTACTTTTAGATATGCAAACAAGTTATACTTGGTTTTACTTCCAATTGGTCAAGAAATTGGCATTGAGACTTTGTAGCTAATGTCTAACAATGGAAAGCCAATAATGATGATAATTAGTTATTATTACAGAAAACTATACCGTAAAATTTGACACTGAGTTACTGAAAACAACTCATACTTCATAATATGGGATTAACACAAACATGCTGGCACACATTTTGCAATTTATTTCCTACTGTATACCTGGCCATCCATCCAACATTGTGGCCTTTCTGTGCTGCTGGAACTGTTTTTGTGATAAATTTTTTTGTTTTTAATTTACTGTGGTGTGACTTTCCCTAATCCTGCTGCTAACTGTGGAAGAGGGCAGACTAATACAGAGGGTTTCCACTAGCAGCCTACAAGCAGGTTTTTTTTTGTTTCCAACCAAAATTGATCATCTCAAGGTGATATTTGTCTCTGTTGACAGGTATCAGCAAACTAGCAAAAATGTGTCATTTTGGCTGATCCAGAATTATCCATAGCCATTAGTTGCCCCCAAGCGATGGGAGGTGATGCAAATTCTATGGGCTAGGGATCTAAAAAAGGCTGCCAAATGGTGCGAAGAAAAGTATTGAGGCTAAATTACATGCCTAATATGATTTTCATGTTTTCACATGTGGATCATTATTAGCAAGTATTTCTTCTGACAAAAACATTGCTAGAGTTAAACACTTGCTAAATTTTTGCATCTGTAATTTAACACAGTAGCTGCCACTGTCACCAAGAAACAAATATCTTTTAACTGAATTTCAACTCTGGTTGACTTTATTTTTTAAAAATGTGTATATATTTAAGTAAGTTTGTTAGTTACTTATTTATTTAGTTATTCATTTAGTTATTTACTTATTCAAGTCTTTTTGTTTTGATTGTTCTGAATGTTATTGCTGTGAGAACAATTAGGAGAAGCCTATCTTAGACAAAACCTTTTCATATATTTTCCTTGATCAGAGCTATATTTTATGTATTCATTTTAGACTTAACTCTAACACTGTTGATAGAGATACACAGAGGGTAGGCATGGTTGCCACAAACAGAACTTTCCAAAATTCCCTGACTATGAAGGTACTGACCTATCCATGATAAAAATAAAATTTCCCTGATTAAATGGATACAAAATGTCCAGTCTCCTCTTCTTCATTAAAACATTGCTGAGATCATCTGAAATATTTCTTCCAGCATGGTATGAAACTCAGTGGTGTAACAACTTTAATTTCCCTGACTTTTCCCTGACCTTGAAATTTCTATCCCTGGCCATTTTTTGATCTGTGGTAACCTTGGTGGGGCAAGATCAACACTACATAGCAAGATAGAAGGGAAAATGCTCAAAGCTCAATGACTGTCCTTTTCAGACGAAAGTTTTGCCTGTCAGCTTGGCAAATAGAAATAAATGAATTCCCGCTAAATCATTTCAGAACGTGGCAATTTCAAATGGGGATTCCTTGCCTTATTTCACGAAAATGATTGTAGTTTTTTTTTCATTCCATCATAAAAAGGAGACGAATTTTGAGGGCTACACTCTCCCCTCCCCCTATGAGTTTATGTTGAAGTCAACCCCAGGACGTTTTGTACAATGCAAGACAATGCTAGTTTGATTACGTTCGGCTTCAGTTCGGTGATATCGTTTTTTGTAACAAACTGCTCATTTTCTGATACCTATTTTATTCTATTTTGACGCTAACCGAGTACCTACCTTGGTTTTGTCCACGGTCTTTTTATTCTGTTCGACTAATGCTTTCCATTTGCCATAATACATTCGCGCCAATCCCTTAGCGCGAGAATATGCATCTCTTTCCTTTTGTGTTCTCATTTCTCTGTTCTCCCTTTCCCTAGCTGTCCTTGACAATCGTTTACGTTTCCTCCTTTGATTTCGCATCCTGCGTTTTTCTTCAATTGTATTTTCCCCAGATCGTCGTGGCATGATTACTTTGCCAAGCACGCGCCAAGCGCGCGCTTTTTGTTGGCGATCGCCTTCGGTACTCGATTCCCTGTGGCTGAGTTTGTGCCCGCGTTTCCATACCGATATAATGTTGTAGAAAATTCTAGTGGACAGCGGCCTATCTCAACGCGATAAAACGATAAAAATTAACCGGAAAGCTTTATTCGCAGTGAATGTACAACTACGAAGAATTAATGTGGATGAAACAGGGTACAAGGTTTATGCAAGGACTACCAGAAAAAAAAAAAGCAGTTGAAATCCTCCAAGTATAAATTTTTTTTTTAATGTAAAATGCATTTTCCACGCGTTTCAATATCACCCGACCTGCCACAGACATCTGATCAGATTTATTTATTATTCCCTCATCGGTAGTAGTACATCCTGTGCCAATTACGTAAGTGGAAGTCATGTTTATTGACAAAGTTTGACAAGCGATGACGTGTCATTGATGCCTAACATTCCCTCATCGGAAAATTGAGACATGTATAGGTCTGTTGGTGTTCTGGTTCACTTTCAGTAAAACGACATTTCTGTCACAAAGTGACGAGATTATGACGCCTTGCGGTAAGCATATTGAAGCAACCTGGAGCGCTACCAGATACTCCAGAAAAAAAGCCCATACAAAGCCTTAGAAAAGTTTTCTAAGGCTTTGTATGGGACAACGGGAGGTACTTACAGTGCACGCGTTTTCCGTCCTGTCATGTTCGACGATTTCAAGCATTTTACAAAGTCAAACTGATGAACAAGTGAGTAGTATTGGACGGCCTGAAATTATGAAAACTCAATTCGTTCCTCGAAGTTTCGCTAGAGAACTATAGAGTTCATTAGGGAGTTTTTACGAGCACGGTTAAAAGTCTTGCATTTGTATGCATCGCCGACAATAGGCCTATTTGAGGTCAGTGTATGGTAAAAAGTGAGTGGAAAGTATTTTTAAGATTTGAAAATTTCAGTTAATAAAGTGTTACTCACCAAACTTTAAGAAAAGTTTTGATGAACAGAGCGAGAATTAGGTTTCACAATTAAAAGAATTCCGATCAGTCTCTTTTTGATCGTTCAAGAATACCTTTAATTTCCTTCTCCACGGCGAAAAATCAAAGTATCAAACAAATTAAAAGGCCAGATTAATCGATAACATCCAACAATAAAGTCTTTAATAAGTTGGGCTTATACCTGAGTTCTTACACCACCTAGCTATAAGAAGTTAGACAACTCTGTCGGTCAGTCAGCGAGTCAGTAAGTAACAGAGGAATAGACTATGAAAGTAAACAGGATTGAATGCCGCAACCTCACCCATTTTTGGGAAAACGATCCTTTCTGAAGGCCTCATTCCACTCAGGTGTCGCTTGCTATAATTAAGAGCAAATTCCTCGACTGCCTCTGCCACCTTGAAGATGGAGTTTTTCAGTGTCTTAACTACTTCTATGCCCGCCTTGTCTTTTGTGGCGTTCTTGATTTTTAAGGTGAAATCTTCAAACACAGTTACAGCCTCCTACAATTACATAAAATAATTCCAGGTTATTAAGCAGCCAGTCTCATACATACAATTTATATTAATAACGCGGAAAAAGTCTAGCAGGAGGCCCCAAATGGTGTCCAGGGTATTCATTGGCTAAAGAACTATTTTAGGAGCCTGGACTTTTTTTGAGCTTGTCCATTTTCACCTCATATTGCTTAATGGTGGTTTATCATTAAAGGTCAGATGTTTACTTCTTACGGTGTAAAAGCCTTTAAGTTATGAAAACTACATACCTGTATGGAAGTCCTTCTGGTGATATCTATTCCGCCAAATTTTGAAAGATACTCCTTTGCCTGGAATAAAAATTAATGTCTGTCCATTTGTAAACAGTGAAGATCCTGAAAAGTGGTATGCATAAGAACAGTAAATGACTATTTAGAAAACATACCAGCTGCTGAACTAGCAAAGGCGACAGGGATGGCGACGGCGATGGCGATGGCGACGACGATGGCGACGGCGATGGCGATGACGATGGCGACGACGATGGCGACGGCGACGGCGATGGCGACGGCGACGGCGACGGCGACGGCGACGGCGACGGCGACGGGGATGGCAATGACGACGGTGACGGCGACGGCGATGGCGTTGGCGATGTGCGATGGTTATAGCAAGAGCGATGGCGATTGCGTTGTGAAGGCGACGAAAGTGCGGTAGATATAGATGGATCTTTGAGAAAAATGTTGATTAAGACCACATCGTTAAAAAAATGCCCAAGTGTAACAATGTGACAGTTAAAATGCGAACGGAAAGCGGAGTAACGAAATGGCCGCTACGAATGATAAAAGCTCTTAAATGCACTCGATTTTCTATTGGTTATACAGAACAACCTTATCGTTTCCTTTGTATTAGTTTCGTCTTTCGCACATGTCTTGTATGATCGATACTCAGATAAGGCCTAGGATGTTTTTCGAAAACTAGACGCCAAAAATATTAGCATATAAATAACACATCCCTTAATCACTGGTTAACATACAATACGAGTACACATTTTTCCCACTTTCTGTCGTTTCAACTCGCCCTTACGAGGCCTTGGAAATACCACGCAAATCGCAAAATATCCGCGCGTATTAATTGTTAAACCACCAAATGTGACGTACTCGTTTCTTTTTTTCCGATGAATTTACTTCCCTTTCTTTGATTTTTGAGCTCAACCGTGGTTGTCTCGCTGGAAGAAGGTTTGAGCCAGCACAAGCTCTTATTTTAATAATTTGATGGATTTTCTAGAGAAAACGACAGGAGACTCCCTGTCCAGGCCTTGAAATTTGTCAATTTAGAGAGTATGTTTTCCGAGAAATCCGCATACAATCCAGCGGCTATTAGATCTTCTGATGTAACGACCACTAGAAATTTTTTTTCGTGAATTGAAGTTTACATTTTAAGAAAAGCGGTTCATGCTTTCTCTCAAGAAAAAAGAAACGCATAACGCAAAGCGAAACTTGAATCGTTTAGCCACTAAACTCTAACCTTCTAACATAATTAAATTTCATATTGCAACGTTAATTTTGTTTATATAAGGGATGGGTCGCACTTGGGAAAAGTTTTCCAAATTGTGTTTATTTTGCGGTTAAAATCATTCGTCGAGGGACATTTCCGAGAGCGACAATAACGTATCCATTTGGAAAAATCTTAATGTCTAGTCTTCGAAAATATCAAAAGCACCACAGTGCTTGGGTGGCGCAGGCAGATTTTGGAAAAGTCGAGTTAAACAAAAGAAACGGCAGCGGTAAATGCCAACGCTTGTAAGTGAGCCTTGGAAAACACCCGGGAACTTTCTACATCTTCGCACTTAGGATATGGATGGTTGTCATTTAAAATCTTAATCCTCTTATAAAGAGAGCCTTGATCGCCAGTCAAATTGATCAGGCACCCACCAGATCTGCAGGTTTGCGTGCACCGTATCTTGTTGCATTTTAGATGACACTATCACCTTCACAATGGCAGGTCTTTTCAGTTAGAAACTGTTATTCACGGAACAAGTAAGATTCCTTACGCCATCATGGAAAGTGCAGTTTTGCACCCATCTCTTCTTGCCATATTTTAGTGTGCCAGGTATTAACAATTAACAATAATTTCAGTTTTTGGCTGCAACACGTAAGGAAAAAAATATGATACTCACGCCACTCAAAAACCCACAAAATGATTTTTTTCAACGTTAATAATGTATGTTCATCGATACTAACGCGCTTACGTATTTCATTTTGAAGCGCAATTTAGTTAATCAATTTTATTTTTCGTCGGATTTGAATAATTTAGAGAGGGAGTTTTTTACAACTTTGCCCATCAGTCAACTGAGGTGAATTTCCTTCACGTTTGGGAAACATTAGAAACATTGGGGAGAACACATGCAGTTAACAATTACACTTGGACAAAGCCGTCTACTCTGTGGCCTGGTGACACTATCCTTACACGTCTTTCTCTTTAAAGTGTAGTATACAGATGTAATGTGTTCTTACCTTTGGGCATTTCACAAATATATGAAGTATCTTCTCCGTTAAGGGCTTGATTTGCAAAGTGGCCCTGTTGCTTCTTCGTGACTAACATGGCCTTATTTCTGGCCCCACTTGGTTGGTCTTCCCATTTACAAATAGTCAGTGGTCTTCCACTCACCCAGGTCCAAATCCCGTTCTCTCTTACCAAACCGATGTGCCATTTTTGTTCATTATTGTTTTCAATCGTATCAATAATAAGGTCGAATTCTTCTTCGGTTTCAATGGAAATTAAATCACCGCCGTCAGCCTTGCAAATGCTTCTGCTCTCGTTCCATGTTTTCCGGCCCGACGCACAAAACTTGTAGCGGAAACTATCAAAACAAGGACTCTCGCTTCCTATAGATTAAAGGAGAAAACAAAAGTAGCATTGAAAACCGATCTCTTGAAAACATGAAATTGACGTAGTCACTGTACTTCATATGTACATGTATATATAGTAGAGTATAGAACAATTTTAACTAATTTTATGTGCCTCGTATATCTGTTATGAACCTTTCTCTAGTTCAAAATAAGCTCGACATCTCGTCTTTAAGTATAATTTAAACCTTTTGCAACGTAGTCATCCTCATGAACCTCAGCTCAGCGGTGGCGGTTCTATAGTTTAATATGCAGCTTTGTTCCTTCTTATTCAACGACTTGTAAGTGTATCAGAATAACACCCTACCTTTTTTGGACCAAATCTTATTTTAAGTGACACATAAATAAAAGTAAAGAAAAAAACCCAGCCTTACCTCCTCTCACGGATTGCATCATCAAAGTCTGGATAGCTGAAGTACGAATGTGAAAAATCAATTCAGTTTCTTATTTCCACTGAAATATGCATTTCGCTGACGAATTAAATTTACTAAATAGAGTGACTGAAGAATTAAGAATTATGTTTTTCGTGGTTATCTAAGAAAATTCACAGAAAAGCACTATAACAGACTAATGAGAATTTATAGTCAAGTGTTTCTCTGCGCTTCTTGAGTGATGTAGCCGCTTCCTAAGTGCTTTACAACAGAACAGAGCACATTCAAGGCTTCTCTAGTTGTTTGTAATAAAGAATCCTTTTAATTCCACACGCGTTACTGTCAATTTTCAAAGCAGACAATTTCCAAAAGGAAAAACGGTGTCATCAGCTTGCTCTATACTCTCATAAAGCACGCTACAATACAATTAACGAAAAAAAGCTAGAGAAAAGTAGGGGAAATGGTCGGACAAAGTACAAGTTGGCAAATGGTGTGACAGCTTTAGACCCGTGTTTTGTACTCTAATAAAGCTCTCTCTTTTAACCAAAGGGAGAGCAAGTTATATCAAAACTTTTATTAGAGGACTGCTTTATTAGCTGCGATGCGGTAGTGGTTCTATTTTTTGTATACAAATTGAAATAATGAGTTTTCAAGTTATTTTGAATTCATTATCTACTCCATAGGGCCGGAGGGACACTTCAATGATAACCCAATTTTAATTCAATGCATTCGGTGTCAAACAAAAGATATCACCGTAGCGTCTATCTATTATAAGAGCCTCACAATTTTATGCCAAAATTTGACTGTTTGTGTAGGTGTGTGTCATCGGGTCTGAATGAATATCAATTTTCTTTTAACTGTTGCAATTACGTAATTGTTAACACATCTTAAATGCTTGTTACTTTCTCGTCCGTTTTTATTTTTTTAACTGTCATATTTATATATGCTAATTTTTGTGACTAAAAGGGACTTAAAAAAAACACTTTGGTGAGGTCGTGCGCTCGTTCTTTTTTATCTCTAATTTTTTGTTACAAAATCTATATGAATCAAATATGAATGATTGCAAATAACTTTAACTAATGAGTTTCTACTGATCATCGTCTATCGGTCTAATTGACTGGAAATGATATTTCAGCTTAAAAAAAGAATGGAAGCAGTCCACTAAGTAAATTTGCCTCAAAGTCAGAATAAAAACAGGAGTCAGATGTCTGAAGTACGTAGGTGAATAAAACATCTACCACCCAAATTTTTTCAAACTCTGGGTCAAACTGTTGTAAAACTTTGCATCTGTTCAACCTTATACGAGTGCAAGTTGAACCACGTTATAAGGTTCGCCCGCTATAAGCAAAAATTACATGAAAGCGGACGGTTTCCAACGCCGTTTAGCGTAAAAGATAGGATAGCTACAAAATTCTTGTGTCGCGTGATCCTAATTAAGGCGTTCAGATACACCGCCATGACGTCAAAAATTATAAATTACAGTGACTACTTTTTTCCAATTATTTTGCATCGTTCGGAAAGTTGATAAATACCGGAAAACTAATGCTAAAAGTCCGTTTATTTTGGAGATAATCTGGAAGCCTATAGCATATATCTGTAGAGCTTAGAACGTTTTGTTATTAGAATGCCTAATAAACACAACATGAAATAAATTTTTAACGGATTTGCTTGCATGTCGCGGGAAGTTCTTAAGTCGATATGAATCTTTTGCAAATTATGGTCAAGCGCTTGGCTTTCATTGCTTATGATAAACTAAAAGAAATATTAAAGGTACTACTTACCAAACGCACAGCCTATAAAAAGGGTTTTTGCCATTTTGCAGGGTTCAGTTTCACTCTTCATCAAGCCCCAGATATATATAATTAAGCTGCTACGAGCAGCTGTCGGCAGACGAAAGTTATCGCATTTGGGAGCAGTAAATGAAAGGAAATTTCTTCAAGTATTTAAAACTCTTTTGTAGGATCTAGAATAAATGCAAATGATAACACTCGGTCGACAGTTCATGACATGAGTCATCATTTTTTAAAATGCTTTTTTAATAGATAGACCAATAGACTGAAAGCAACTTGCACCAGCTGTAGCGCATTGGTTTTCTTCATAAGAACGAAAATTTCACAGCACAAAAACATTTTTGTTATTTTCAAATTTTATGAAAATGTAGTTAACAAATAATTATTTATGAACAATTAAGTTACGAGCTCCACATAGCGATAGTTGTCTTTATCATGGTTCTGTATTATCCACTGGTAACTAACGTGTGTGTCCCATCTGTTTGAACAAATAAACGAAAATTACTTCTTGAATTATCTGAACTTTAAGTTGAAAATAGTAGCGGAAGCAGAGGCAGTGAAAAACAGACGGGAAATTGCACGCGAGTACGGAATATCCGAGTCAATGGTTCGGAAATGGCGAAACCAACAGCATATGCTGTTTAATGGCGAGTTAAAGATGACTGCCAAACGTGCAAACCAAAATACCCAGAACTGGATCAACGCTTAGCAGACTGGTTTAGCGATCAAAGAAGTCAATGTACGATAAAAACTTGTTTCGTCTTCAATTCATGCCAATTGATTAACAGTCCAGAAGATCAATGTTAACATGCAACACGTGCACGTAAAATACCTTGTCCATTAACACTGTATTGTCCTATTTTTGCAGGTCTCTTAGTTAATAGCGTAATGTTCCGGTTAAAGGCGAAGGAACTCAGCTCCGATCCAGAGTTCAAGGCATCTATAGGGTGGTACAACAACTGGAAACGTCGTCACGCTGTATCTATGAGAGCGAAAACAACTTTGGCACAGCGTCTATCAGCGGACATGGAGGAAAAGATCGTCGAATTCCATCGGTTTGTGTTGAGGGCCCGGTGACGTCATGACTACCAGTTAAGCCACATCTTAAACATGGACGCTACCAGCCACAAGAACCCTCGAATTCACGGGCAACCGAACAGTGCCGATCTTGTCGTGCGGTGGAGACAAGCAGAGTTTCACAGTTGTCCTAGCAGTTAAAGCCAACGGAGAAAACTACCGCCGAAAGTCACTTTCAAAGGCGTTCCTCAGCTACGAATCCAGATACCACCAAGAATGCAGGTCTCGGTACAAAAGAAAGGCTGGATGGATGAAAAAGGTATTTTTCGTTCCTTGTTTATTTATCTTTCAATCGAAAAGTTATTCGGCGCGGGGATTTCTCAGAATTCTGACATCATTCATATCGTGTTTCCAAAGCACGTGGGCTTTAATTGACACTTCCGATATCGATTAAATCGATCGATAGCAGTACGTTTTAAAATTTTGTTTTTGCCGTAGGCCTAGTCAAAGTTGTTTCTCTCTTTTTCTTCTGTAGGAACAAAAGATTGGATTCGGAAAAATCTCCGATTCACGCCACATCAGAGAGCACTTTTGGTTTGGGATTTATTTCGTGGCCATTTGACCCACGCTGTCAAGGACCTCCTTGCGAGACGAAATGTTGATGTTGCTGTTATTCCCGGTGGCCTGACGTCAGTTTTGCAGCCCTTAGACAAGTGCATAAACAAGCCTTTTAAAGCCAAACCGAAGAGGCGAAGAAGGAGAATAAAACGTACCTGCAGCAGTATTGATAGAACGGTTCTTTTCAGAACCACCAACTCGAGTAAAGTCAACAACCAATATTCCCAGCCTTTTATCTATTTATCTTGTTTTATACCAGGTTAAAGTTAGAAAATAGGACGTTCTTGAATTTTGTTGCATGAAAATAATTGGCTATAAGACGCACCCCGAATCTGAGACAATTCAAAGGTGATAAGGCAAAATTTCTTTGAAAAAATGCTGCGCCTTATAACCGGAAAAATACGGTACCTAGCATATCTATAACTGCACTTTGTTCCTTTAAATTGTCTACTGTGTGCAATTTTTTCTTCGATCGCTGTGAAATGAGGTTTCATAGCTCTAATTTTAAATATCAGAATTCATCGATACATTTACGATTCGAAATAGAAATACTTATCTAAGGAATGCGGAGAATAAAGATTGAAAACTTCAAGTTATCCTTAATCCTTTAACTCCCATGAGTGACCAAGACAGAATTTCTCCTTACAGTATCAATACAATATCAATCAGACAGGTTATGAGAATAAGGAAAAATTTAAGTTTGAGGATTTTCTGGTTGATCCAGTACCAAATTCTCAGAAGTAGCACCTGAGAGTTGTATGGCAGACAGTGAGGAGAGTTAGAAATGAGATCTTAGGCATGAAAGGGTTAAAATATGTAATCTCTCAGAATTTCTTTCTTTTTTAACATAGTTATTTATTCATTAACTCAGCATCATCTATCTATTCATCTGTTTATTCATAAGTAATAACATTAGATGTTGGACGAGGCTGCTAATATTACAGTAACAAGATACTGTTTGACCAGTATCTTCTCCGATATGAAACGTGAAAGCATCATGTAGCAAGCGTTAAAATGTAGCGCACGAGGATTGAAAGATGGCAGTTAAATGCGTGTTGGAACTAAATAGTGTTAATTAAAGAAGAATTTGTAATGATTTCATGCCATGAGTTCATTGAACTTCTAAAGTAGATTTAATCTTTAATGAAAGTCACTTAATAACAGACAAGCCAGACCAACCTGGAGTTAGGATAATTTGATCCTTAATGCGGACAACTTAGCATGAAGCTAACAAAAATTCTTAAGCAAGTACATGTATGCGATGTTCAGGAAAAGTCATTAAGATAAAAGATAGCACTTGCAACTTGTTAATTGCTAAACCAATAAACAAGAGAACGATCTCACCACTTAATAATAATAATAATAAAATAATGATAATAATAATAATAATAATAATAATAACAACAATTTATTGACAGTATTTCTACTCGGTAGCTCTACATCCGTCCTACTAACTAAAAACTAACGACTTACATAATGCATAATGCACCTAATGTTAATTTACTTTTACTACATTACATTTTAACAGCAGATTGAAACTCAGATCGATCGTCATCGACTAATCGCTATTTACTACACAATCGTTCAATGGAATAGAATGTTATTGGCGGACAGTTAAATCCCCTGACTTAAGTAGAGTGCTAATTCGGTTTAAGGTCACTGCGAGGCTGCAATTCAACTGCCCGTGCATTGCCGACGTCACTTGAATTGACCTGTGGGCTCTTCCTTGTGGAGTCCTCCTTATTTGAAGTGGTAAAAACCACGTTCATCTTTCTTTTCAATCGCTCTCTGATCTGCAGATAGACAAGCAACAAACGATACATTTCTTTCAAATTTCATTCAAAGAGTTTTTCATGCTTAAACATTTGTGCAGTAATGTGCACTTTCCTTATTCTTGACTTAGTTTTCTTTTCTTACCTGGCTGTTTCGTAAGCCGTGTAGAACGAAAATCAGGAAACCCTGTTGCAGAAACATAATTTCAAGATCATTTTTTTTACAATATTGCACTTAGGTAGGAAGCGGCGGAGTGTGCGTTGTTTGGGTATCTCAGTGTACAATGCATATAATAATCGTCTTCAAGAATCAATATCTAATAGGTCTAACAAGACTGCTACGAATATATTTCGGGTCAAGAAAATAGTTAACAGGTTTTTAATTTTTTCTAATTTTTTTTGTATCATCTAATCATTGTAAAGGGTTCTCTCTTCGGTTAGAGCTGTGTAAATTGAACAATCTAGATTGATTGAGTTTAAGAGTTTCAATCAGACACTCACCTGAGTAGAGTTGAGTATTGTGAAAATGTAAGCAAAAGCCTTTTGCACAGGCGAAAGAAGACCAAACAGCCACGTGACACCCAGTAAAGGAATCATCAGTGCGCAAGCTTTGATACCAATTCTGAGATCGACAACAAAATTGAAGGTGCATGCATAAGGGTTGATAATTTTTTTCGCAGTCTCATTAACATGTATCGTAATAGCAAACTGGTCAAGGGATGAGGGAGCCGGGCGAACGTTGCCGTACGTACAGCTTGTTAAGGAAATTTGTTTTCATTATTTTGAATAATTTCATGTTGTGAATCCTACCGTATTTGCTGAATATGGTCGTCTTCACCTGTTGGCTGCACCAAATTGGTCATCTCCTTTATGACTCGTACGAGTATCAAGATGTTGACCTATTAAAAATGCCATTAAAATCACTGAATTAAGTTTCTATACTTGGTAGTCGAGAAGCCAAGAGAATCTTAGTATAGAAGTTATTTGTTTAGTTTAGGTCGAACAAAGAAACGTAGTGAGTCCAATAGAAAAATAGTGAGTAACTAGCTCGGTAAACCAAGCACCGTAAAATAAATTAATCATAAACTCACAACTTCGATGAACGTTACAAAGGAGATGAATATCCAGATCAGATTGTTGGTCGAAGACAGCCAACAACTAATAAAATTGAAAGACACGAATGAAAGTCATCAGAATGAATTAAAAAAAAAGACCCAAGGAAAAACGGAACAAGAAAAATAAAACGCACTTAACTTGATAGTGCGCGAGAGAGAGAAGAAAGGTAAAAAGTAACTTATTGATGTGTTTCTTACTATTTATCACTGACATAGCTTTGTATTCCTTCTTTCGCAGCAGCAATGCCAAGTGAAACGGCCATCATGATCATAGGGAAACCTAACCATAAATACAAAAAAATAAATTCAAAGCACTTGACTTGATGACAACACCAAATATGAGAGCACGGTACTACCTCCAATACATGTTGTAGTAAAATAAGTCATGGAAATACCCCATGAGATGACGTGATACATGCGCATCTTGGTGTTGATGTTGTAAACTTTTACAACGAACAGGTAGAGGTAGATTCCCTCGACCAGCATCCAGCAAAAGGCAGCCATCAGGAAATACTGTATCAGAGCTGCTACTGCGATACAAGCAGTCTGCAAAAGGAAATGTTTTGTCTTTCTGTGCTCTTTTCTAGAAATATTTAGAGCAGAAAGATTTGATTAACTAAATGAAAAGATCGGAGAAACCTCTCACCGTGTGTTCTGTGGCGTTTACTCCTGCGAGAAAAATTAGCTGTCCAACTCCGAGGGACACAGAAAGACTCAATCGAATTTGAGACAGAGGTTGACGGACATCTCTGGTGAAATGAAAGATGACGAAAAAAAAGGAAAAACAAAAACCAGACATGAGTAAAAAAAAGCAAACATAATCAAACAAAAATAATTCAAATGAAAAGTTAAGCAAAAAAAGAAAAACAAACAAAACAAAACAAACACCAAAAAAAAAAAAGTCAATCAAAAGCTTCAGAATCAAAAGGCAAATAAAAAGCCAAGTTGGTATAGAATAAGAAAACATTAACGACTGAGGAAAGAGACCATGCATTGTTAATGCTCTTCTAATTGAACATGAAATGTAAAGTAAATTGGCTATTTAATCGACTTACTTTACCTTAATTTCGGAGAGATTAAAAGGAACATTTTGGATAACTTAAAGTTACCTTTATTCCTTAGTTTTTTTTTCCTTTGTTGAGAAATTACAATCGATAGTAATTAGAAGAAGACTTGAGAATGTGTACTTCATCCATTATTTAGCCACCATACTTACGTAAAGAAAAAGTACAAGGCTGATGTTACAAGGACCCCGATGATCGACAAGCTTAATCCTACGTAGGTAATTATCTTCAACACAGTCTCCTCCTGTTTGGAAAGCTGCGTCACATAGCATAAAAAAAGAAAATAGAGACACGTGAATTAGCTCAATTAATCTACATGTATTACCAGTGCTGGAATAAGAACATACATATAATTGGTTACCTTTGTACCATCGTTGTAATCTAATAATACAGCAAAATGAGTCAAATGATTGCAGCTACAAACTGTTTCTTCTGAATTGCTTCTCGACATAACTACATGGCATCCTTCGTCTGAAAATCCGTCGGAGCTGCAAAGGAAGCATAACCTCAGCAGGCAAGACGTAGTGTAGGAAATAGCCTTCCATGGTACCAAAAGAGTGAATTTCATCAAAACCCTTTTGATTTCATATTATCGATTACATTATTGGCAGTTCATTATTAGTTTTAATAAGTCAAGGCGGAAACTATTTACAATACTTCCTTGTTAGGCATAGATTCAAACTTTGATTAGGTGTATTACAAATTTTTAGACAGAAGTTGTCGTAGATAGAAGGATTATAGCTTGGAAAAATAATTTCAATAGAAAAAATCATCTTATCAGGACAAATTTTAAGGGAAAATTAATGTTAAATTAAGGGGAAAATAATGAAACATAACAATTCTAGGTAAAAGTGTCTCCCGTGATAACCGGAAAATAAGAGGACATACAAATACAGCCAACAAGCAACTGGACAACGAAATTCACGAAAAATATTGACGGGAACATAGAGGCAAACGGACGACCAAACAAACGAGAAAATTCTGAGAAAAGTAAATGATGTATTGCAATTTTTTACCTTTCGCTGAAGCCTCTCCAAAACATGCAATTCTTTACCCTTTCTTCTATCTGAAAATAAAATCATCGTGGTGAGATGAAATAAAACAGCGCATTCCAAATAATCTTTTTTTACTTTCATGTTATTCAATCTTGCTTACCTTTATGTTTTTGAACTTCAAGACGACATTTTCTAGCAATTTTTTTGGTTTAGGTTCCATTGCTGCCATTATTATTCTGCTACCCAAATATCTGTGTACACAATGATTTGAAAATGAACCAGAATGTGACAAAAATATGGTGGTTTAAAAGAGTGGTAGCGGTGGTGACGATACCAAACTATTTGCATATCTTAGCCGATATTCTCTACGTAGGGAAGATAACGCCAGTCGACGCTATCCAGCAGATAAGTGTTAACAAAATGTTTTGCTCTATCTGCCGGATAGCGAATTATTCGGTGGATAACGTTAATTACCCTTCGAACAACCAGGGCCAGGTGTTTTGAGCACAAAGAAGACAATATTGTTACCTTGTGCTTCCTGTTCCATTCCTGTTGGGTTGACTTTTCGGCAGTATGTCTTGCAGATTCTTATATACACACCCGACGACCACTGATCCTAAAAAAGGTAAATCTATGTATTTCGTTCTGGCTATAAAACAGATAAACCCGATGAGCGCAGGTTTTGGAAGCAAAGCCTGCGAAAGCTTGTGAACTGTCCTCCGTGAGAAATAACGTCAACGCTGTTTAATTGTAATCTGGTGTCGATGCCTGTAACAATTTTTCCAGACGATGTAACCTCCGCCTGACTGAAAAACTTTACATTATTAAAGCCGACAAAGCAAGCAACCTTAACAAAAGAGCTGAATTAATTTCTTAATGCTGCCACATCAGCATTACATCAGATTACAACAGACTTACTAATTAAATAATAACGTTATTTAAAAGTTTCTTCTGTTAGTGTTACATGCAACACAATCTTTCTTTTCGGAACAGAAACTATTCAAACAGCACGGAACTATCAAAGCAGATCTGGACACTCAAAGACAACAACACCAATTTTGCAATTAACCGGAGTATTTTAGCGACCGCCCCGGCCTACAGCAACAAAAGCAAGCGGTGCCACTTGTGCCTCACAGAAAAACTTTACTTAGTTAGAGCTAAGAAGCCGTCTTTATTAAACCAAAAAAAACAGATCTCATTTCTAAATGCCGCTACGAGAATAAGTTTTACTCAGCAAATTTCACAAGCCACCAGCAATAGCTCTATAGAATCTTTATTTCACACATAGATCAGATCATCACACTAGTGAATTAATTAGCTACTTATCTTATTTGTATTTAAGGAGGCATTCATTCATTGAATAAAGTTCTGTCTGACGAGCGCTTAGGCGCGAAACTGAGAGTCACAGAGAATCGATGCGTCCTCTTTAATTCTTTAACTTATGTATACTTAGCTTTGCTACCACAGCATTGAGCACTTTATGCAAAGATAGACACTACCCCCATATTTATATATATGTATATATATATTTTTTTCAGACTGAAGACAACAGGTAACACAAACCGTTATCTGCAAGATTTGAAGAGGCAATATTGATGTTCGTTTGCCATTCGTGTACGTCGAGGTAAAAGTCACTTGCATTTTGGCGGTCGGCCTTTTGGACTTCCAGCACTGAAGGATGAAAAGTAGACTTCCCGCTTATGGATGAATATCATTAAAAATTGAAGAATTAAGAGATAGACTAGATCCAACATAAGCGTTTGTAAATGACTCAGGACCCACTCAGTTGTTCTGAGGCCAATTGGCGCTCACCTAAAGTCAAATTCTGATCCGGGTTTCTTTATTCCTTCGTTCAAAAGCCATTTTGAGATAATTTTCTTCACTCTTTTTGAAGAGTCAAACAATCATCAAGATTATAGTCAATAGTCCAATAGAATTATGCTGAATTTTCTTTTATAGCTTTCATATCTGAAATCAGACTTCACATGAATCCTCGACTATCTAAACTTAGCTCAGAACAACCCAGCCCAGTTGTAAAAGACATTATCCTATTTAGGAGATAAAGTGTCAGTCACTCAGACCGTGAATAAGCATCGACGAAGAATTTTATTCACAAATCTGATAAGTGGTGGTGTTTTTACTCACCCATTTTGTGGCTTACAATCTTTATTGGAAGGTGATGCTTGCCATAATTAAGAGCAAATTTCTCGAAGACGACAGCCACATTAAAGATGGATTCTCTTCCTTTCTGAAACTCGTCTATGGTTAACTGGCCTTCATGAAGTTTTGTCACGTTTTCAAAGCTGACGATGAAGTTTTCAAACACGTTTACAGCCTCCTGAAATCACGTAAAACAATTTTATCCATGTGATTTTCAATAATATTATAGGGATCTATGTCAAGCGTGTGGTTCTAATTACTTATAACGTTGTTTTGTTACAAGTAGATACCCTTTTGCCATGTATCTGTTTAATAACAGTTGAAATTCTTATAGATCATTAACGACGCCAAAATGTGGAAAACAAAGAAACTGATCATTGATTTGGTCAATACTCCTGAAGTTTTCTGTTATCCATAACCAAACAGACGCGCGGCAACTTGGAATCTGCTTTATTTGATAAGCAGAGCAAACATTACAAAAGGAACGACGAAGATGAGAGTTTTGATGTTAAAGAAGCGTGGAGAATGTGTCTAGTATTAATTCTGTTCCGGTCCTAGAACGATATAAGTATACAGAGTGTTGTTTAAAAGCTGTGTTTTCCTTGGCCCAGGTAGCCTTATCAAATTTCTTTCCCGCCCTCTGTCACTGTCTCTCTTTACATATAAAAGTACATATAAGCATATATGTAAATATGTACTCGTTCTCAAAACGTCGCTATTTGAATATATATATATATATATATATATATATATATGATACATACACCTTTCCTTCTTCCATTAGCTTCCGATAGAATAAATTAAAGGGGACGTTCTTCAAAAGGAAAATACAATAGCTGCTGTCAGTCTCAGTTACTCCGTGTAACTCGTGAGTTACAGGGAATCATGCATGTTTCATTTTAGTCATTTTGAACTTTATTTCGCTGTACACTCACGTGTATTGAGCACTTTCCAACAGCTACAATTTTCCACAATTATATATACACATATATTTACTTATTTTTTGGATATATTCTGTACGATAATATATAAGTTATTGGTAAAGTTAGATACCTGCAAAGAGGTCTTTTTGTTGCTATCAAGTCCGCGAAGTTTGGAAACATATTCATTTGCCTAAGATAGTGAAAGTGTCAGTTATTGGTATGAACTAATTACATTCTGAAACTTAACATGTACAAGGATGGTAAATAATCACAAAACTCACCAGCTTCTGAACTGAATTTGAAGGCGACGGCGATGAAGATGGTATTATCAAAGATGGCGATGGCCACAGCAAAGACGACAACGGAGACAGCGATGGCGAGGGCGAGGGCGAGGGCAATCGAAACAGAGACAGCGATGGTGATGGCAACAGTGAGGGCGACGCTCCTAAAGAGATCGATGGCGATAACAACGCTACTGCCTTTGCCGATTCTGATGGCCATACCGTCGCAGATGACAATGATGGCCCTGCTAATTTCGATGAGTTTTCAGGGAAAAAAATAAAAGTAAGGATATACCTAAGCCGATTTCTGTATTCTTTCTCGTACACAGTGCTATTACTATACGTAGTTCATCCTCAGTGAGTTTAATGCCATTAAAATTTACACCTTCCCTTTTGATGATATTCAGCATCACAAAATGTCGTTGGCGTTGCGAAATATGGCATGTTTCTAGAAGAAATCTCTCTAGTCTCGCTCATAAGCAAGCCATGCTGGACGAACTGATTAGTCCACCATAATTGCATCTATCTCAATTCTTTTAATTTCCGGTTCTGAAACCTTAAGTCTGAGTATTTTGTGATGCTCGATATCAAAGTGGCTGGGATGGGTAGATCGAGTATTATGGTCTCCATTTTCGCCTGCAAGTCATCCATAATGAATAGTTCATACACATTTGCGAAGTGGAGAGGAAACGTGACGCGCAAAGCCAAGATCAATATATTCATGACAGTGTGGTCCATGATGACATTTCTGTCTCACTAAGGGCCTAGACACGCGCTTCTCTGTTTATTGTGCGCTAAGCAGGCGCAAATTTGTCTTACCTTTGGGCATCTCACATATGAAAGCTTTGGGATCTGTCCCCGCTGGATCAGTAGATAAGCCCTGTTCACCCGAATCAGACTCCCTGATTATAAATGCCACTCTATGGTTATTGCTTGGCTGGTTTGCTCTCCATTTACCGATCGTCAGTGGCTTTTTACTCACCCAAGTCCAATTATTTTCCTTTTTTTCCAACCCGATGTACCACTCCGCAGTATCGCGATTTCGAATCTCGCCATCAATAAAGAACCATTCCTCTTCGGTTTCAATGGAAATTAGGTCAAATCCGCAGTCGCGACAATAATCTCTGTTAAACATCCATGTCAACCCAGAGGCCATAAACACGTAGCAGGAGTCCTTAAAACAATCTTCAAAATGAGAAAACGAGTCTTCAAAATAATCTCCATTTGGAGATTTATCGAAGGTAAACAATATTTCTTTAAAACGTGGGTCTCCTCCCATTTATTCACGAGGGTAAAGCTTAAATATTTTCATTATCACGATGTTCTTTGACACCTTTGCAACGATATTTCATTCATTACTGTGAGAAGCTCGAAAATTTTAGCGGTGATCGAAATTAAATTATCAGGCTTAGGTAGACCAAGAATATAGGCCATTTTAAAACTAAAATGAAGAAATTGGTTTGAAGCTTCCACACAATAAGGGAAATAAAGGTGCAAGGTTTTATCATTTTATCAAGGTCTGGTAGCACTTTTTTTACGCTCAAGGGCTTTTAGCACACCCCTAGTTTACTCAATTGTGTTGCGTCTTACCTTTGGTAATTTCACAAATTGAGGCATAAGGCTGATCCCGGTGGGTCACTTGAAATAGGCCCACTTTACTATCATTCAAAGACGTCCTGACTATTATTGCCACATCTCCGTCGTCACTTGGCTGGTTTTTATCCCATTTGCAAATGGTCAGTGGTTTTCCACTCACCCAAGTCCAATTGCCGGCTTCTTTTTCCAAACCAATCATCCACTTATTATATTTCCATTTGGGTTTTTGAATCAAGTCATTTAAAAAGTTCCATTCTTTTACGGTTTCAATGGAAACTAGGTCAGCCCCCTGCTTTTGACATAATATTCTGTTATCGTTCCAATTCGGTCCTTGGTTTTGCAACATGTAACAGGAATCTTCAAAACATGAAATCTGGCATTCTGGGAAAAAAAAAAACTAAAACAAATTATAAAATGGGAATAACTAAACACAAGAAAACATGGATAGCTTGTTGGCAAAGACCATCCACAGTTTTCATAATGTTATTGTTATTATTTGTTTTAATTTGGAAATGGTAGTTCTGGGATCAGAGTGAGAGCAAATTAACAGTATTTATTCTGAGGCCTGAGGCATACTGTGGTTTTTAAGTGCACTTCGAAAATGATTAGCTAAGTAATTATTTTGATCCTGATAAATCTCTCAGAGTTTGACCATGTTTCCCTTTCATTCTCGGGAAAGTAAATACATGCTTTTTAGAGTCTTAATTAGCACTTCTCACCTGATCCATATAAATGCTTTGTCAAAGTCAGCACTACTGTAAAGGGAAATTTAAAAAAATTGTTTTTACATGTGTTGGTGCTGAAAAGTTACTTGTCTGACCAGTTTGCGTGGCAATAGATGAATGCACTCATTCGGTGTGTTTTTCATTACAAATAGGAATTTTAAAATAAGGCATTTTTACCTAAAAGACACCTAAGAAAACAAATTAAAGAGCTGTATTGACAAATGTCTTTGGCCACTCAAAAATTAGCAGGTAAAGTATACTAAGCGCTGCACACTACACGGGGATAAATATCCTAAGAAAGGTTCACTCGTGTATGCAGACTTACTGTAGTCACAGTAACTATGTAATCTCCAGATTTTATGATTAAAATTATTTCAATAGCAAGGCCTCACCCCCCACCCCCCACTTAAAAAAACTTGAAATAGGAAAAGGATGAAATACTTAATTTTTGGGAAAATCTCTTTAATTCACAGATTTCCAAATAAATCAAAGTAATACCAATTAATTATATGAGAGCCTAAGCGAACTTCGTGAGACACGTTCGTCCACGAAAACTTTATTTTCGTTGGGAATTTCGCGTTCAAGAAATTGTCTCGGAAGATGATTGACACTTGACATTAAGGGTTCGTTCCTTTGGGAGAATCCGGATCAGGATTTCTGATCTGTAGCGTTCCTTTCGAGCAAATCCATTTTCAGATCAGTGATCTATCAAATGCATTTTGGGAAAAGGATCCGAAATCAATCATTTTGCGCAGCGGTGCTCAATTACAAAGAAGTAAGTACTTCAGCTGCTCTATCCGCGACGGCCATCTTTTCCTCGTTTTTAAATTTAGCGCGCGATTCCGCTGAGGCGCTCTACAATTTCCCGGTTGCTGTCATGGTAACTGATGTGATGAACTAAAGCTCCGTTCCTTTGATGCACCGTGATCTGTGTAATCTTGGATTACAAATCCAAATCCGGATCCTCTCAATTTTTAGAAGACACGACATATTTGTGATAGTCATGCGCAGCCGACTTCTTCAATAGCACGTGTACCAACGAGGCGCCCTTCAAAAGTAAAACTATGCGCAAATAACATAATAGACACAATTCCTTTCGAAGATTTTCCAAAACCGTCGCTCAAACCTTGTCAGGTTTGAAACATCTCAATTTAGTCTCTATTTAAAGAATTTTATCGGATGTTAATTAGGCAAGATTCCGCGGGTAAGAAATGAATTATCGATAACTTATGGTATGCATGTGCTGCATCCCTAACTTTGCTTCCGATAGAGAAGCTACAACACCAGACCGTTATTGTGTAAAGTTTTTTAATTCCAAATCTGCAACGCTGTAAAAGGTCCATTCACGTAGTTGTTTCTTTTCAGAAATGTGCGACATAGCGACCATCTCTCTGTGTTTAATGTAAGACTGCAAATATTTTCCGGTCAAAATGCCTGCCACCGGACAGAAAATGATCAACGCTTTGAGGTTTTTGGCCTTTGTAAGCTACGGAAGACTAGACTTCAATCTTTAAACAACGCTAACGAGCTGTATGCGGGCTCTCCAAAACAAACGCAGTTTTTAAGTCACATTTGGTAGCTGACTAAAATAATTTCGACACGTCCTCTGTGCTAAGAGAATTCTCAGAAGGTTAGGATAATCTTCGAAAGTTATGTAATTCCTTGACAGCCTCTTGCAATCTACCTTTCTCCCAATCCAACCTTCTCTTGTGTTTACCAAGTCTATGTCAACGCAATAAAACCTCTCTATTTTTCAGACATTTCTGTTTAGTTTTCCACAATTTATCGAGACTGTCCCGAGTGATATCTTCATTTGCATGATCCTTCTGAAGATTCCAAGGGCAATTTGGATAAATTCAAACAAAACAAAACAGGCTAAAACTTGATTTTAGATCAGAATAGTAATTTTCCTCTCCTTGCTAAAGGGTAGCGACAAGTTTTTCAAACATGGTTTGCTCTTCCGTCAGATAACCGATAGTAATTAATATTATGATGTCATAAAGACTAATTAATTGGGACTAAGCTTTAGGTATCAAATCACAAATAGATCACAGTGGTTGAGGTTAAGTTAAGCCTAGAAATCATCATTAAAATGGAGACAGAACTGGATAAAACCTCCATCACTAGGAAATATCGATTCGGCCCGGCTCGAACGGTGAGACATCTGTCAAACCTAATGTCAACTTCAGTCAACTCAAGTTCCCCGTATTCGGTCAGTTAATTAAAAACCATCGATCATTCTGAGATGCCACTTTGCAGGTGAAAGACGAGAGCACTATCACAGCCAAGCGACTGCGTTCATATGATCCTTAACATCATTGCTAGAAATAAAACTGTTGTGCAAACCGTCATAACCCAACAACCATGGTTTGAAATGGTCGCTGCATCTTTAAAAATATTAGATTTTGTCATTCTAGCTGATTGTTTTCAAATATTTAAGTCTGCATCGTACTGAAATAAAGAAACGCAAAATAAGTCGTACCAAATAGCCTGATTCTTTTTCCGAAATTATTTTCATGATTTTGTGAAACCACTTTTCTACAGCATTCTGATATAAGAGATATAATTTAGCTGGTACTTACTCAGCGTGCAACTTATAAAAAGCGCGTTGAACATATGTATTTTTCTGGCTTTGATTCCACCCATTTTCCAAATTCATCAATACAAACTATGGATATGTTGCTGTCAATTGTTTTCATGAGATTGATGTAAGTTTCTCTCGAAGGCTGCGCATGTGCAACATATCTTTCAAACTCTTTCGAACTCTCTTGCACTATGTAATTTTGCATATCATAGGCTTTGATCGCTTCGCGTCACCAAGGTTGTATTCTTTTTGTGTACCTTAGTAAACCAGCCAAGTAAACCGCGGAGTATTTGCTCCAGATGCGGAGCATTATTTTATTGAAGAGAAATAAGAACTTCATGACAGCAAAACAACCTTTTTCGTTCTAGTTTTATGGAAGTGCATATCGTAATGGTGTGAAATGTTTTCATTTCTTTGGTTGTCGTCGGTTCATTTACCAAAGCGCATATGCAGTGTTTTTTAACGCGTTTTGAACTCTCTGTTCGAGTTTCTTTTGATGCACGCACGGTGCTAAGTACGTCGTAACTCTCGATGGGACGCTGTCTTCTCGACGTGAAATAAGTCATAACTTGGTTCTTCTTAAATTGAAGGACTAATTGAAATGAAGGCTCTAGGCAATAGATGATAAGTATTGTTTTGCTTCGTAAAAACAAGAATTAATAAACTGCATCAACAAAGCTAATATTAAAACGTTTCAATAAATGGTATTTTCTAATGTATTAGTAAAATAAAACTGCAATCATTAAAAACTGGTCAAGCAGTCTCCGACTCTACACGATAGTCGGTTGTCCAAGTAATTACATATTTTGTCTGTTGCTAAAAATTGCGTGAGATTTTCTAGAATAATCTAATTTCTTGTTATACGTAATCAATTTTTTTGCAGGTGTCTTCCGCTCATTAATATTCCCTTATGGTTTATTTCAACACGCTATTGTTATTTCTACTTTTGTCAAGTAATTCAGTGGTTTCTAGCTCGTTGAATTATTATTTTTGTTTTAGCAGGCGTAAGATATCCAAGAATTTTTTCCAATCGCCGGGTCATTAATTTCTGCATCTGCCTAATCTAATACTTGTTAAATCAACAAATAAAAAAGGCTAGACTGTGCTCTGTTCTGTCTCCAAGCACGCAGGAAGCGCCTAGAGCGCGAAAATCTTCCCCTACTTGCGAAGAGAATTTCTAGGATTGCTTCTAAATCGCTCGACTTCCGTTGCTTAATGAAAAACTTCTATTGTTTCCGGCTGCCATCTGATACATAAACGGGGAGCAATAATGTACGTGATTCTCTTTGCACATCTTGTCGCAACAGCTTTGAAGGATGTCAATGAAGCTATAATTGTGTTTCTTTTATTCTACATGTGGCTCCTTAGAGCCGTTACACAGATTGCCGCAGCGAAAACAACATGAATAACGATGACTTTTCCATTGTTTTTCAATCGTTTGGCATTGTATGGAAACTGAAAAACATAATGACACTAGCTAAGAGAAGAATCGCCATCGTTTTCTTTGATAATTGCCACCTGGCAAATCTCTTGTCTCAGTTTTTTTGCCTGAGTGTCACAGGAAGTTCCCAAAATCGATAAAAACTATTCGCAAGTAGAAAGTCAAGTCTATAGATCTCATTTCTACGTTATACCTGAAGGAAATAAGAGAGGTGGTACTTACCCAGAGCACAACTTCTCGAAAAGGTTTTGAACATTTTTCTGGATTCGGTTTCACTTATCAACCAACTCGTCAAGGCCACTATGTACACAGATAGTTATCAGTAGCTGTCGTTACGTTACATTGTATTTGGGAGCAGCGCATGAACGGTATTTCCCTCAAGCAATTCAAACTCTTTAGTATTAGCTAGATTTAGATGCAAATCATAATACTCTGTAGACCGTTCGGAA